TGAGTTATGGAGGGATTCTTGTAGTAACGTATGATTTAAACAAGAACAGGAATGTTGATGAACATGCAACAGTCCTCACATTTCAGTTTAGAAAGCGCCATATTGCAGCGACGTGCGGATGGCAATACCCGACGTCGCGCGACCACGGCAGGGACCAAATATGGTTTTCCCACGGCCGTTGCTTTCAGGAGCGAGTGCTTCAGCTCACAAAGTAACTTCCGCCGTGCAAAAACAAGGTTTCGTTTCACAGCACGACGGCATGGCTGGCATGGTTAACGGCACGCTACAGTTGGAGCGTCCGCACACGCCCGCCTCTGTCGTTGAAAAAATCGTAAAAAGACGCGAGACGAGACTTTCGAGATGACAAAAGCACAAAACGAGAGGCGGTGGGAAAAACCATGCAAGGACCGCATGGACCATTGATGCAGGGTACTTTGTGTCGGGCGGCCTGGCCGCTTGTGCATGCTCAACCATGGTACTCAGTTTAGTTTCGGTTTTGAAAGGTGACCGAAATTGGTTTTTTGGTGCAGGCTTGGTGGAGATTACCCTTATTTTGACAAAATGTAGCAGGGTTCGCCCCTTGGCGCAGTTTGGCACAATTGGTGCAGCAATCACATCACTGGGTATGGGCGCTAAATGTGGTATGTGTGGATGCGCGGTATTCTATGGTAAGTTGTTCTACATTGCATACCATATAATAGTCACAAACACTGTTTACAAAAAAAAAAAAATCAATTTTTGAAAGACTGGAAAGACAGAGAAAAAAGGGGTCAAGTACAGAGTGTCTCACGTTCTGCGCTTGTCCCCTTTTTCCTCCGTCGTCTGGGGTTTTCCAAAAATGTGTAACATAAACCAGCTCGCCTGTCTACTCTATCATCAATAATTAAACCCTCAATTTCGATGTCTCTACTTTTTGAACGAAAGCATCCTTTAGGAGAGAGGAACCTCTGTCCCCAAACTGATTTAGTGATCCTTCACCAGTGAAATCAAGAAAATGAGGCCACTACATTACATCAGACCTGGATAACATCGAGAGACTAACTTCCACCAGAAAAAAGACATGGTCTGGTCACATAGCTGGCCAGGTACGCAATCTTTTAAAACCGAAAAGGTCGGGAAATACGATCCAACAACCTTGCAACCCCTCCATGCAAGGTGGAATGTCATTACACGCGATCCCAACGACGACTAACCAAACTACCTCAAACCTCGGCAAAACACATATGTGCAGACAACACCGCAAAAAGCAAATTTGGCCGTTCCCGAGATGTGGAAATAGTGCGGCGGCTCGGTTCAACGACAAAAAAGGGGTCTTTTCGGGAAAGCAGTGACATGTTTTGATGCATGTGCATGCTGCGAGAAGGAGGGGAGACGCAACAAGTGTTGCAAGTGACACGACCAGCTGTGCATTTGCCATTCTATCTGAGGCAATGGGCCGCGGAGCACATTTTGCCCTAGGAACGGGCCCCTTACAACAGAAAGAGAGGCCGAGCCAGGGAAAGTCCTTCCGGTCGCTGTACCCGGATGACTTCAGGTGACAGATGGCAAGAAAAAGGTCCTCAAAAACTGGCAGCAGACGGGCCGGACTGTAATCGGTCGAGCTAGCCTCGCATGCCACCTGGACGTCTGGAAAACAATCTACCGAACACCTCGGCTAATCCTGGAAGATGCCAACTTGGAAAGCACCTTTCACACCGAAAAGTTTTGGCTAGAGGCTATCAACTTTGACACTACAACGTTCATACTCCAACAAATCACGCAGAACAAACATGAAACGTCGGAAACTAACCAGATTATTTGCCTTTGGCGGCCGGACATTGAGAAGAGCGTGGAAACTGTTGACCTTTGGTCGGCAAAACATACCCTACCCACTGTACTGAATAGCCACTTTTTATAAAACAGAAATGCAGGTACTTATTGCCAAATCTATACCCAACATACTTCTCTGTGTATATCTACCGTACTTGGTTAAATAGTTGTGAACATCACTTGTATGTCTGCATGAACATCTTGTGAAAATCGTGGATTGCAACCAAAATGGGTGCCTTTTCTGTTGGATTGTACTGTAGGTTGCACACATTTTCGTGCATTTTACTTTTTTTTTTATTTTCCTACTGCTTTCAATTTGTGTTGTGGGTTATATGGTTGATGTTAATGTTTTTGTCTGTACTATGCCTGCCCTTTCAAGTAGAGACCTGACTTTCCTTTTTGAGCTTCATTTCCGCAACCGCTGCTAACTTTGTTGCGGGAAAGAACTTCATCAAGCCGCTCTATTTTGGCTTTTGTTTCGCACGCCTCAATCTTTGTCGCGGTGGCAAATAAAATTCAGCTCAATTCAAATCCATTGCAGGGCTGCTCTGTCGCAGACGGGCAACTTACGTAGCACCAGACCATACCAAATGTGAAATCCAGTGAGCAGAAAGGTGAAATCCAGAACATCGCTCGTAACTCGCCAAAATGTTGATGCACGGGAGCTTTACCCTTTCACAAACAAGAGTGCTTTTCTTTTTCTCCCAGATACTTTACGTGTTTCTTAAAGTCAATCCAATACAATTACGTGCGTAAAAAACGGAGCCGAAATTAAGCTTAAAGATATTTGCGCTTGATTAGGTTGCCTTCACATGACCTCTCACATTTAGCTAAAGAAATTTAGACAAATCAGCACCATTAGGACACTGTCGGACATGATTCTGCTGCAGCTACAGGTGTGAATTTTACATTACCGCTAGGATCCATTTAAAAATCTCGTATGCCCTTGGCGTAAATCTGGACAGTAAGTCACCGCACATGTTGGGGCTCAAAAGCTCCCAAACATTGGAAGATGCTTGTGACACAGTTGGGCACTGAGCTAGCACGCACACATGGAATCAGTACTAAATGACTCTAGTTAAAAGACCACAGGCAGACTACTTCCTACTGGCTTCTCTCTAACAAACTTGTTTAAAAGTTTCAAGATTGCACTCTCAACTGGCAGAGCTGAAAATACCATACAATGATGTATGCAAAAAAAAAAAAAAAAAGTACACCATCCAACTGGCAAGCACTGGGCCAGCTTGATAGAAACATTGCCTTAGCTAACACCATGTAGAAAAATTTTAAAAAAATACTGACAAAGCTAGCTCATGAGTGCCTTGGCACGTGAAGTTGAGTCTCAAGCACTCGCGCGCCCCAGGCTCGGCAGGCTTTCTTTCGCAGAGTCATAGCTAAGACGCCGTGTAAAGCAAGCAGGCCCAGAACTTATAATATTCACTTTTGAGCATCTCTATGCGGGGGTACTGATGGCCGAGTGTCTTCGCTTCGCAACTCGGAACGCATCGCAACCCGAAATGCGTCGAGCAAAAGCTCGCCCTGCAGAACCCAAGTATGCTGGAATCAATCACTACCCAGCCGTTTAGATCTGGACAAGCATAGCACTGGCGAGCATTCGTGTATCACTACTGCATGGTGTTCGTTAAACATCCAAGGCTAGCAGTGGTACAGCACTAGCAAAATATCTTTTCTACAACGGAGACCCTAGATACCCACTAAAGGCTCACTAACTTCCTGCTGTCTAAGCATACACACAACACAATTTCTTATAACTGTATGTGTTTAGAGAAGTTTATCCATCGTGGTATTGACTTTGCCACCGCATTGCAATGGTCTCACACTTCGAGAAGCATAGGACTTTTGAAAGAGGTCTATTAACTTGTTTGTTTAAACTCAACGCGGGTGACTTTGCCCATACCCTTGCATCAATCAAGGCGACCTAAGCTGGAACGGCTAACACAGACAATCGGACCAGCAAAGTGGATATTGGATATTCTAACAGATATATAAGGGGGATTCGAAAGAGATTGCACTGCTCTCAATTATCGAGGTGACTGCGTCCACGACGAATGTGCCAAGGCTGACGACGACGGATAATAAACCCGGGTGAAAGTAGCAGACGATTGAAAAAAAGGTAGACAGCCAGCCACCCCGAGAGTTCCAAGACGGACGCTATACCCTTGACACTATTCAACGGCAGCTTCAGAGACCCCGATGCTGCAAGGAGACCAAACGCTTGCATGTAGGGGATCAACGCCACCAACAAACTCGGAGAACGCGGAAAAAGAAAAAAAAAAAAAGCAGAAAGACAAAGGGAATAAAAAAAGTGAGCCACAAATAACCATGAGCGTCGGCGACAAGGAAATGCTACAAGACTCGCTTGCTCGCGAAAAAATAATACACCATCCATCTGCCGTTGGCGGCTCCAGCAACATTGGATTTCATTACTACGATTTCTGAGACGCATGTAAAACACAAGGGAGATTTTTTTTTTTCGTAGTTTTTGAAGCGTGTGCAAGTGTGGCGTCAAAGCCGTGACGTCAAGACTACAAAGCCTCAACGTCTCGTCGCCGCGTTTTGGTCGTTTTGCAATCAACCGACAGCAGCCAGCTTCACTGGCGACATCGGCCGATCGCGTACGCGTAAACGCGATCGGGATACCGGAGCTGTTCGTCGGGCGACATTTCGAGCTACGGCATTTTAATAGGAGCACGGCACAGTCCATATGCCGATCTGCATACTACGCAACAACAATCGTACGCTCACGAAAAAGAAACAAAAAAAAACCTAAACGCACAACACACATAGGCGACCTCCACCACAGTGGAGGAGGGGAAGCAAAACGCCACAGTCGCCGCGTTGGCGATTTGCAGGTTAACGAAAACCGCGTTCGGTTTACTGGTTTTGATGTGATCATTGACGTTTGGGTGATATGATCGGGCTTGAATGCGACACAAAGTCCGGATCAGAGAAAGAAAAAAAAAAATATCCAAAGTGCCAAAACGGAAGCTAGCGTAGCAGAAGAAATACTTCTGCGGGGCTAGCGAAGCGAGAGGCGAGGTCTCCTCGGAGTTTCTCTCCCCCCACACAGCCGAATCGACGCGCGTTCGCCGCGACCAGGCGGAACTAGGGGATCATCCGTGAAGCGGTCTGGCGAAAAATAAGAGATGCCCAAGCGACGTTCGGCTTACCTCGGATAGGAACGTTTGTGCAGCCTTCTGTGCTCCCACGTGTAGTAAGTATTCGTAGACATACAGCGCTAACCTGGAAAAAAAGAGCAACGAGGCGCAGGAATTAGCCAAAACGGGTAAATAAGCGGTGCCCGTGGCACGCGCGTCTACCCCCGGCCTCCCCTCGGCCGGTGGAAATGGGACCGACCCGGCCATATGCCCGAGGCCTACTCGGACGGCCGATCCACTTCGAACTGAATTTTGAAAACTTGCGAACCAATAAAACTGACACCGATCGGAACGGGCGGTCGGCCCGGAGTCTCGGCCCAAGTGCCGTCGGGGCCGGGTTAGGTTTAAAAATCGGGCCGGAGGACTGACGTGCCAAAGCAACAGCGCCGTGGTCGCCGGCGCACGGCCAAAGCAAGCTTCGCGAGTAGTACACACCGCACTCGTAGAACATGGTTGCCGCTCCGAGCAAAAGCGTCCACGATCACAACTTACTTTTCCCGTGCTTGAGCATCAGAAGGTACTGTTGAGCCTTTTCCTTTTGCGTACATACTGTGGATTTGAACAGTCACACACCTGTCAAGACATTCAGGACGACACCGACCATGTTACCATAGAAACATCAATTGATCTGTCAAAGACTGCCTTGTGATTGGGCTCACCCCCCAACATGCACGAGCTCCCCCTGGGCATGATCGTGACGTCACGGACGCGCGCGCCTTCCCATTGGCTGGAGACGCGTCATTACCGGCCGCCATCTTGCCCGAACGTAATTCTACTTCCGAAACCCGTCTGTTTTTCTCCGATATTGTGACTAATTAAGCGTTACTTTTTATTTCGCGGTGGCTTAAAAACGTCAACATCAGTGGCAGCTTTGGGTAGTGGATAAAAAAAAAACTCGGCCGTGAACTTTATTGGTTTCTGGGGGGTGCGTCCGCGCAACGGAACAGCTGCAGAGAGAGAAAACTTGGGCAGCTACCGCTTGGCGCACGTAAACGATTTTGTGTTGTGTAGTAGTCGCTGCGTTGCACTCTGACGCGGCGGTTCGTGGCTTGCGCTCTCTCTCTAAGCGCCAGGTAAATATACGGAATAACAACCTCAAGCAGCGGTTGGTTGTTCACGAGTCAACACCTTATCCGAGGTGTCAACACCAGTCTAGTCGCCTCTTTAAACGCATCTCGGACAACAACGTTGTTTATCACGCCGCGTATTGTAAAATCCGCTCAAAACCGGCCTATGCGATTCTTGTGGTCGACACTTTATGAGCCTCTGCTGACTGCGAAACAATTGTCTCCCCCAATAGGAAATTCATCGCCTCAATATTCAACTGGGGCGCACGGCCTGGCTGTGATCATCCTCGGGCGAACACCCCCTAACCGGAAAGTTTGGTTGAGGTCGTGACGTCACGTCCAGTCGTCTGCTTGAGTGTAGGAAAATTATGTTGGAATGGACCGAATTTCAACGCTGTTGTAGGGAGATCGAGGCCCTTTCGATCAACTTAAATGACGGCTGGCACTTCGTTGTTCAACAGGTCGGTGACTTTTTCTTTTGAGTTTTATTTGTGCATTTATTTATGCACGTCTGTGGTGTTGCGGTTTCGGTTACACGCGTAGAAAACAACAGATTAATCAGCGACTACAGTACTGCAACTGTTATCTGCTGTTTTAGCAGACAACTTCCGTCGTCTGCTAAACCTGCGGATGCCAAGAGAGGAGTGTTTCGCTATAGGGATTGGCGAGACATTGAGAAATATTCCGGGCGACAGGTTTATTTTTACGAAATCCACAAGGCCTCTATTTTTAACAGCATACCAACTTTTCCACTTTTTTATTTCATTTATATTTTTGGTTTGACGTTTTGTCTTCTGCTTCTCGGCAGTGTTTTCTTTTTATTTCGACACAATGCCCTAGAGCTTCGCTAAAATTCCGACACACAATGACCTTGAAATCCTGTAAGGAATCAATATATCTGCATAATACTTTTAATATTGGTTCCCAGGCGTTCAAGCAATAGTTATAAATTAAAAAAAAATAATAATAAGATGGATACAATCCAAACACTAAAATTAAGATATATATATATATATTTTTTTTTTTTCTTTTTTGGGGGAAAATTACAAGGGTCAAGACAAGACGGAAAGTTCTGTCTTGTCTGTCATCGTCACTTTCCTTTGTTTTTGTAAATTACCAGCCACTAATACGTCGTCTAGCTTCCGTGTACATATTTTGTAATATTTATGCATGTTTTGATTTTCTAAAAATAATTTTTCTGCCGAAGTAGCTTGAAGCATAAGGAATAAAGATTTAATCAATCAACCCATCCTGATAACTTAAACTCTGGGACAAAATAATAACACAGCAGTTATTCATGTTGTCTGGTATTATATCCATTTCTTGTCTCAGTTTCGATTACGACGTTATTTTTTTTTTTTTTTTTTTTTTTTGATACTTCTTTGTATGACTCATGAAGCTTGGTAGTTTGACTTCCCTAAGGACAGAATTCTAGCATACGACTGGGATATTTTGCGAAGGCGATGCCATCGCGCGAGAAACGATGACGTCATCCTGACATTAATTTGTGACGTCCTCTGCCTCCCTCTGCCACCCACGATTCGAACCTTATGTCTGCGGAAAGACAAAAAGAAAAGGGCTGGGGTGGGTTCATGGTCGTGAACTTTGAACTTTCTTTTAGCCCCACGGACATCGTCGAGGTGCTACGAATCACGTGCTCGCAGTAGTCCGAAACAGCCGATCGGCTACTACTGAGTGACATGGACGAGGAACGGCTAGGTGTCTTTTTATAGCGATCTGGAGAGAAAGAAGAAATTAAAGATGGAGAGGGGGTGCATTGCTAAATACAAGCCTGAAGGCGGGGAGGGCGAAAAAAAAAGAAGACAGTGAAGAGGTGAAGAGCGCAAAGAAATAGTTCAGCCGACACTACAAAGAAGGTCACACTTTGGAAGAAAATAACGGTGTACCACCGTCGTCGCCGGCTCTTTTTCCCCTCCCTCTCTCTTTATTCGTTTCCCTCTCCCTCGACCTCCCAAGGGTTTGCTGTGTGTGTCCCATTTGCATGTGCGATGCTGTCCCCTTTCCCCTCACTTCCTCTTTCCACACACACGCACACACATTCGCCTCCTCCGCCACCTCCAACCGGAGTTTTTCGTTCCCTCGCCTGCTCGCGCCAGTTCGGCTCCGGCGGAGAGAGAGCGAATACACCGATCGACGCTACGCGGCGCTTGCGCGGTGCGCTCGCTCGTCCGGCAGTGAGGGAGAGGGGCACGGTCAGGGGTTCGAGCTTTCGAGTTCCACCCCCGGGTCTGAGCCGTGGGCCGAGTCCGACCGCGGTTCTCCCCGGCCCGGCATCGATTGGTCGCCGGTGCCAGACCAAACCACGGGCTCACTGCTGTGCAGCCACCACGTGCATTTTTCCCGCCAACAACACGGCTTCTCCCTCCCTCTCTTACGCTTTCTTGCTCGCGCGCCGCGACGTTTCCTCCTCTCCACGGCGCTCCCTCTTTCTCTCTTTTTCACATTCGTTCGCTCCCTCCTACTTTGGGAAGTTTCTGTTCCCTATTTTCCTTTTTTTTTTTTATTATTGTTAGGATAAATTCGGGATGTGCTCCTCCTTGGTCGACCCTCTTTATTATCGTTATCATCGCGAAAAAAGTTGGTCATAGTCCGCTTTTTTATCTCTACATGTGTGTTTGTGTAGGCTTTAGCTTTTAACCGACGGCTGATGCGGGTAAACTCTACAACTTCCCTTTGAGTTATTTCAGAATCTAGCTAACCACTACAACTAGTAATTTACAGTTTGTAATATGTCTTTACTCACCCTCTTTGTTAATTTTTCCACTTCTCTTCGACGATTAAAAAAAAAAAAAAGAAACGCCTTGGCTTGTCAGCGAAGTTCCGATAAGAAAAGTTCAAACGCCGAGTTTCCGCGTGTGCCAACGAAACGTCGTGAAGTGCGCGCCGTTTTGAAGTTTGTCCGATCTGGCACCATGACCAACATCAAATATGAATACGGTGACAAATTTGCTCAGATGGTACAGACCGCCAAATAGTCTTTATAACTCGTGCGATGACTTGACGAATAACCAAATTCAAAATAGTTCTTATTTGCTCTAAAAAGCTGATTGACAGGATAGAAAATGACAAGCTTCGTATTCAGCAAAAAGGTATGAAACTTCCTTTACCTTTCCACTCGTGAAAATCAGTCAATCAATCAAAATACTATAATAAATTGATCGGGTAAAGAGTTTCCGTGTTGTATCACGATTCCGTTTTACGCGACAACGTATTGTTTACATAAAAAAAAAAAAAAGTCGGTTTTTAGCGGCATACGCAAACGGTGATAATATACGGATTTCGCATTAAGCGGAAGTGGCGGCGGTCGTTCTACTTGTTTCCACGTTCTTTGGAGGTGAAGAAGGGGATTTAGGAACCAATAGCCTTTATGTCGCTTATAAATGGCTTCTCCGCCGGTGCACTGTGACATGTTTTCATCGCCTCCTCTCCCATCCCCCAGATTAAGAGCAGGAGAGAAAGGGAGATGGGCAGAAGAACAGGGCAAAGGGTGGAAAGAGGCATTTATCTGCGCGTGCGCGTTAGCACGAACATTTTGGAAACCTCCGCAGGACACTCCGACTGCTTGCATGCGTCGAAAAATGTAGCGCTCAGTGTTTTTACGTGGTGTTATTATTAATTTACTGCAATGTATTTTTTTTTTTATCTCCCATCATTGTATTTGTTAATTTCGTTGTTTTTGTACAGCGCGAAATAGCGAGCGGTGCATGTATGAAATGGTAAATAGAGAGATTTATTGCAAGAGAAAATGAGAGTAAGAGTGTGATGATATTAATAGCCTGCTCGCAACGCCGGCTAGTCCCGAAGGTAGCAAGGAAACGCATACTTGTAAATAAAATATCCAATAAGGGCACATAGCGTTAGTTTATATCAAATTTAACGCATTCTCAGTGCTTCTATAAGCATTAGATATGAAGCTTTTTCACTTGGCTGTTTTTTTGCATGTACAATTTATTGACATCTTTTCTTTTTTTTCTTTTTTTTTTTTTGTATGGTCACATTAACATTTCAGCGCGTATTATTCTTAGTCATTCTCCTCTTCGGATGCATTAAAGCTTTGTAGCACGTAATTTAGATACAGTAGAACTTTCAAGCTGCTTGAACGAATTCTGAACAATTGTGTCAGTAGTGCACAGCTGTAATGGGGTGCTACACCAAGGTGATGTTTCAACGTCAGCCAACCTGTGGGCATTGCGCATGCCCAGTAATCCTCTGGTTATCGCTCAAAAGTAGATTAGGGAACTGGATTCCATAAAAGGCAGTGGGAATGAGATGGCGTCAGGCGAGAGATGACTGAGGTCATCACAACTGACCAAATACGCTTCGCGACGACGTTAAGCTTAGAATGTAAACTTTTTTGAACGCAAAGCGTCTGATCGATGCCGTGACGTCACTGCGACATTCAGTCAGTCATGCTACAGGTTCTTGACGCTGCGGTGTTCAGAGTGAAGTGGAAGCTCCTCCCACCTCTTTCCACTTTAGCAAAGGAAACGCTGGAAAGGGGGGGGGGGGGGGGGGGAGTTCAGTTCGTTGACGTGCTCAGGTGGCGTTGTTGCAAGCGGTAGGCTGCGGTAGGCTAGTGACGTGTGATGTGTTCAGAACTGAAGACTGAAGTCCCGATGAAAGCGAGTGACTTCATAACTTCCGAAATGACGTCACAGAGGGTAAAAAAAAAAAAGTTGAAGAAAATGTATTTCTTGGAACTCCCAGTTTTCTTCAGCCCTTCAGAAAAAGGCGCCCAGTTTCCGTCTGTCGTTTAACGAGGAAGAGGTCAAGAGCAGTGCATGCCCTGGTACGCACGGCCAGGGGCTATTTTGGGGGTTTTCCTCGTCGATGGTAGCGCCTGCTTCCCCCTCTGTCTCACCGAGAAAGCAGGAAAAAAAAAAAAAAAAGGTGTGGGTGGGCAAAAAAAAAAAGATTAAAAAAGAACGCGTATGCGCTCAAACTTGGCTCAAACGAACAACGTAAATACACGTATATATAGCGTTTTGTCAAAATTTCTTACGCCCGCGCTAGCATCTCAGTCATTTTCCCTGTCCCTACAGTTGCCTTTTACGTCGTGCACGCAACTATAAGAAAGGAGTTTCCCGGTTTTTCTTTTATCGCGATGAACGGTACTAAATAAACGACGCTTTGAGAGGTGGCGCTGTCTATGGGAAGCGTGCGACAAGACAGTGGCGTCGCGGTGCGGCTCCCAGCTGAGTCGTTTGGCGGGAATATCAGTTGGATCGCCGCGCCCTTTTAGGTGTCGCACTCCGCAGCCAATCAGATTGCAGCGTTATTGTCGTACGCGTCCCATTGTCATTCCGCAGCCAATCAAATTGCGGCGTTATTAATAATAAAGTCCGAAGAAGGAATCAGGCAGAGCATGAACATATTATGCCCTGCTGTTCCCACTGACAAAACGCTGCCCGATTCCTTCTTCGGCCCTCATAATGAGTAACGCCGCGGTCTGATTGGCTGCGAAGACAGTGGCGCCGCGGTGCTGCTCCCAACAGAGTCGCTTGGCCTTGGCGGGAACATCAGTTCCATCAGTTGGATCGGCGCGACCCCTTTAGGTGTCGCACGCTTCCAATATCCGATTGATATTTTTCCTAAATCTACGTGATAATTTTTAACATATTTGAAAACGCTTTCGCTGCCACGCGCTTGAAGCTTTAGTTTGGAAATACATCCAACTCATTGGAAATAATCACGGGAGTAATGAAAGCAATGCGGAGGGCAAGTTCGTCTGCTTCTTGCGCAGGGGGTAGCGGTGACGTCAGAACGCCGAGCCCTGATTGGCTGATCGCCACCCCCTATCTGAGCGTCGTCTGCTCCTTTGCAACGTCGTATGCGTCTGTCTTACCTTTCGTGCGACTTTCGGAAGTGCAGAGGCCAGATGCACGAAACAATCTTGCGCCAAGAATGTGCGTAAGACAAAACTTAAGAACAAATTCGTACTTACGAAACGAAATTTTCGTAAGTTTTGCGCAGATTACGACAAAAGCCTACGACAGCTCCGAAGCTGTCTTACGCACCTCTTACGATCAAACCAGCATATGCCCGCGCGACCCTTGTGAACCCTGCCCGCATTATGCTTTGATCGCTGACCTCAATTTTAGATTAAGAGGTCAATTTCTTCCTCTTGTTATCTCAATGTTTCCCGAGGCAACGGCGACTCTCGCCGGTGAAGAAGCGGTGAATCTCCGACAGACGCAGGAAAGGTAAAGCAGCCATCGCTTTGACTAGCAGACGTAAAGCAGACGACGCCAACCGCGCCAACCCGCCGACGCCGTTAAAGAGTGAGGAGTCTCGTCGCACACGAAAGGAGGGAAAAAGTATTTGGGAGGGAACTTGCGGACACTAACCACCAGCTGACCACCCTCCACTTTCGGTTCTTAGCAAACAAACCTCGGCGCCTCGGGACACCTCGCCAGTGAGTCCTTTGACTTCCCTCCTTGATGCGGGTCTGCTAGTTTGACAAAAGCAACGTACCGCTCGAGTTATTTCGTCTGCCCTCTCTGAAAGGCGAAGTCGAGCTCGCTCGACTTCCGAAAGTCGCGGAAAAGGTAAGACAGACGCAGACGACGTTGCAAAGGAGCAGACGACGCTGAGATAGGGGGTCGCGAATAACATCTATCCAGTTGCAGACGATAAACTGCCGCCTGGTGTTGTAGTTGAAATTTGTTTTCGGATCATTTAGGAAATTCAAAAACCAACAGAAGGCTTGAAACACATTTGTCTTTTAGAAGTCTAGGCGTAACACTTGCGTGTCCCACTCTGAAAACGGTGTCACTTCTTGATGTCTGCTGACGTTTGCTTACTTTCGGATTCGGAGCGTATCGCTACAGATCTACGTGAAAGAACGTAATATAAATAATAGAAGATACAGGTTGAAGTCACACAATTTTTACGTTTGCATTGTTTATGTTTGGTCTTCGTGTAGTAGGTCCTTTCGTTTGCTAACCATTCAACATTTGTGGGGAAAATGGGCCGACCATGATGTTTAAAGGGACAGAAGAAAGGCCTTATGAAGAAAGGTGACAGACAAGTGTCTCAAACTCGGCCAACAAAATTTATTTCACCACAACGCTTTTATATCCATCTAAAAATCGCAAAAGCAAAGCTCGGATTTCCTGCAAATAGCTCCTTTTGGAAAGTTTATTAAAAGCTTGGCGTCCAGCGAAATCGCGGACCAGAATTTTCTTTCCGTAAATTTCTAAAAATTGCAATGGCAACTTTTTTTTTTTTTAATTGATTCTGTTATTTTTACATTTTACTTACACAAGGTTTGAGCTCTAAGGAATGGTAGCTTGACTATGCGCTGCGACAAACACTGGTTGCTTTTCGGTTTTTCAAAGCTATATCTGCAGCAGACGTATTTTAGTGCTAGAACACAAAGCAGATCTCCCATTACTCTCCCACAGGACGAGCCTGGATGCAGTTATTTGGAGAAACGGTCCGTTATAAAGGCACAAAGTCGACATCTGAAGGACGTACCAAGTGATGACTACCATGCTGCAGACTTCGGCTTGAAAGAAGTTTGTACTTTATTACACATTCATCACCACAAACTCGAGAAATTGCGAAGTTTCACTGGCACGGTAAAATGCTTCCTACAATGGACCGGAAAAAAATTTACACATGACTATCTCTAATTACTTCTAGCTTTTTGGAGCTTATGATCCATGATCTTCTCATCTCATTTGCGCTTCATATCTGTTTATAGCATATGCTACGGCCATTGATGTGATTGTCGAGGTTTGAGTTTAGTGCTGCTATACACATTACGTTTCCCTGACAGGAGCTGGACTGTGACAGTGTCATTGAAGACAACCAAGAGGCATTGAGATGTGTCTACAACATTGTCTACAGCGTCAGCTACAGTGTACCTGTTCTCTACTTCAACATCTGGAAGCAGGGTATGTTGAATGGGATTGCCGTGTATTTCTGGATGCTCACCAACTGGTTTCTCGTGACATGCAGATGGATCATTGCTGCCTCTTCCAGAAGTGTGGTCCATGGTCCCACATAGCTTTCAAGGCCAGCTGAAAGATGTCTGGTGGTCTACAATAACACAACAGGTTGTTGCCAAACTACAAACCCTCTTTTTACATCTTCAAATTTATAAATGTCTGACCATGCAAGTTCGGAATGTTCGTCAGCTTAGCACAGTTTTTATCAACGTTTAACAAAATTGAAGCCACTTTTGCAAAGAGGGCAGTGAACAAAATAGCAATGGGGATTAGAAAATTAAGCTCTAGGAGAACTGTACTGAATGATGTTAGTTTTAGCAGATAACATTATTTCTGGCAAACTTTTTTTTCTTTTTTTTACATATGCAAGTTGATTTAGAAAAGGAAACAATTCTATGAGTTGCACTTGTAGCACCCCTTAATCCCCTGACATTATTTTGAAGCACTGACTACCCTTCCAAGACAGGAAGATTCATACCTAAAGTTTCACATGCTTTAAGAGATTATCCCTGAACGAAGCAAGTACCTCTCGTGTCAAACCAGGTTTTGTTAGTTGCTCAGTCCATCGTGTCTAATCGGCCAAAATGCAGGCACAAGTCATCACAATTGCCAAACTGTCATTTAGACCTTCCGTCTGTGAAGAAAATGTGCCGGCAAACAACATAAAATACCCAATAAAATTGGCTGAAAAAAAAAAAAAAGTGGACCTCTTGTTATTTAGGAATGCCCTCACACAAAATCTGTTTTCATCAACTAAAACCAGGAGCATCCGATCCTGGGAACACCTTTCTTCCAGCTACACCCCTGCAAGACAGCTCAATTGATGGATCAGGTCCTACCCAGTCACAACAAGTAAGACGTCCCAATGTCTTACGAATGTCTCGTTAACCTCCGCGGCAGCACTTGTCCTGTCCACACACCAGCCTCCGGGCGGACAGGTTGCCAAGGCACAAGCCGGGCATGAGCTTGGTGCTCACATTCATAGACGAAAAAGCAGACTAAGCGCACACTCGCCACTCTAGACTGCTTCAGCACAATCTTTACTCGAGGACAGCTTTCTGCGGCCATGCAGTCAAAGCTATGGGTGTACCTTGTGCGCAGACTCCTGAATTGCCACAGAAAGTTGTTCCCAAGTATAGGTAAGGCACTCTCTTTGCTAGGGGTCGGCAACCGGTGGCGGCCCCCCGGCACACCTCCTGGCGAGTACCGCAAGAAAAATCGTTGGTTTCAAACCTGGTGTAGTCAGAGATATTAACTCCGTCAGGAGCTGCATACAAGGTGGTTACCCCCCATTCACACTGGAAGCGGATCCGCGTTCGCGAAGCGGTTGCGAAAGCGGTTGTATAAAGATCCAGTGCAATTGCACACGCATTTGATGTCATCATGTGCGCGTGCAATTGTACTGAATCCTTATACAACCGCGTTCGCAACCGCTTTGCGAACGCGGATCCGCTTCCAGTGTGAATGAGCCCTTAGTCTGATATGCAACTTTGCTATATTATCCATCAGCAGTTGTTGAGCACTAAAGTGAATCAATATTTAAGTTTGTCGTACCTAGGCTGCATTTTGTTGTGAAATAAGGTTTTATACCCTTATCAATTTCAAACTTTTTGTTGCACACAGATGCTTGCTATGGGTATTGCGACTTGGCGTCCGGTGAAGAATTTTAGCAGAATCTCGTAGTCCACATTACAAAGAGCAGTCGGACGGCAACCCTCGATCGTTTTTAGTTTGCCCGAGTCTTAGGACTTATCAGAACTGCATGGCTCTGCAAGAATTACAAAGGCAGAATAACGGTTCAAGAGCCTCCCGAAATACAGCACGCAGCATCCACCGCGCGTCACATTATTTATCTTCGTCATCCCGCCCACTCTCGTCTCCGCTAAGTGGCGATTCAATCCGCTGCAGGAAAAGCTTCCCGACCCCTGCTCTACCATGCCGATCCGTGCTCATGCGAGGTCGCATCTCTTGACGCAGGGAGCACGCCAACTACATCGTCACTTGGTTGAGCAGCATGGCACCCCTGGTCGGATTGGACTTGCCAAACAGCTACTCGGCGCTGACGGCGGCGCGGCAGTGACGTGTCAGTCACGCTTGTTTCTACGGATGCGGTGCGTGGACAGCAGAGACCATGACGCTGCGCAGCATGTGCCGGTTAAATGTGAAGAGTGCAAAACAGTGTTACTCAGAGAGGGAGGTACGAAGTGCCAGGACCTTCTGCTTTTAAAGCATTAAAACATGCTGTACACGTGTCATCAGTGCATAGACTCAATGAAGAACGGAGTGGCCCCTAAAAAAACATTTATAGCACTTTTTTTCATCGCAATAAGGAACTACGCATTACAAAACGCTCGGTTTTTGTGCAAGTGTAGTGCTACTGGTTCGAACCAAATGCCAAAGTCTCGGAGCTTCACATTACCCAATTAAAAAGTTACAAGATTTTCAGAAATTTTCAATAAAAAAATGGTGGCCAACAAAGCACACTAATAGATGGAGTTGAATGACATCAGCTACTGAGAACGGGACCCCATTTGCCCATTGAAAGTTTAAAAAAATAATGCAAGCTTTTAACAATTATTAGTTCTGAAATTTTGACTTTCCGTCCGGACTGCTAGTGCTACATTTTCGGGCAAAGATCAAGCGCTTGGCAATGTGTATATTTTTGTAATTAAAAAAAAACAAAAAACATTGTTTTTTTTTTTTTTTTGGAGACACACTAGTTTTTGGCAAGTCTGCGGAGCATCAGGACCCACAGGCACGCCCAAAGAGAAAACTGAAATAAATGGCTTCCAACACTCGGGTCTTCGATTCACTATAATACAACTTTTATTCTGCGGCATTCTCCTGCGAAGAACTAGAGGCAGCACGACTCCATGAGTACAAACCCTTAAAAAAGCGATAGACTGCCCTGGTCGGTTGCATGGGGGGCACGGATTTCAATGACATGTCTCGTTTTTTTTCTCTGTGCATCGCGTACGACCTCCACAAACACGTCAGCTGCTGTCACGCTCAAGAGGAAGCAACTACAGAGGCGCTGATTGGTCCAGCCAACACGCCCAGATGAATGCAAGGGAGGGACACACAGTCGTAACCAATCCGCCGGATAGCCAACGCAACCAACTCCTGCTTTCGGCCGTCTGACAATAAATCGCTGCACACAAACAAAAAACACGGCATTTTCATTTTTTTTTTTTGCAACATTTTATAACATTGTTTTATTCTAAAGGGCGGCCGAGAAAGGTTTATAATCGTAAAACGTATCCAGTTTAGAAACCTTTATCCGACATCAATGAACCGAGAAATTTTGTACAAGTGGAATCTAGCTAGTAATTTAGTTAAAAGTAGCATGAAAACACCATTAAGCCAATAAAAGCTATGCATGCATGTTTATTACCCTCCCCTTGCCCACAAGAAAAACGTGGAAGAAAGAACAGCTTCAGAAATACACACACGACTTGTAAACCCGCATGCCGGTCTGACCAGCGGAATAACAAAACTTGGGCTGAATCTCGAGTTGTAAACACGACAAAACAAAAAAGAAGTTTCGAAAGGAAAAACTCTTCAGACCTAGGAAATTCAAAACAATGGAGACACCCAACAACGAAGAAAGAAGGTACTTGGGCAGTCTATGAGGGACGGGTATCGACTTTGAAACCGCAACGAGCAAACAAACGTTTCACGTGTTAAGAAAAGCGCGTTCGGAACGGAAAGAACACCGTGAGCATTCTCAGCGTTGTCGCAAATCTGTATGTACAAAAGAAAAAAAAAAAAAAAAAAAAGTGGCGTAGTCTAGGTGAGCGATGTAGAAGACTGTCCCGCAAAAGCAAGACATCGGCAAAGGAAGCGTGCTGAACCAATTCTCGTTGGCTGACGGCTCCTCCCATATTTGCAAATGTGGTGCTTTTTCACGTAATTGCATGTACAGAGTTATTGCCCATAATTGCAGTAATTTCAAGTACCGAGTTATTTCCTATAATCACGAGCATGGCGTCATTTACCACAGTCGCAAGTAAAAACTGATCTTCCGTAACTGCAAGTTTGGTGTTGCCGTCAAACCTACGGTGTTCGAGACACGCTTTTAGAACGAAATACCACACAGTTTATTTTTGTTTTATTAGTACCGGTAGTTTCCTGAACTGTAGGGAACGCCTCATTCTCGTCGTGTGGCGACTCATTCTGGCCAGTGGATTTTCATTTCGAAGTTTGAACTCGAAACGCATAAAAGCGCGGCATTTTCGTCCAAAGGTGTCGAACGAAACGCCAAATGCATGCCGGAGGACAAAACGGATTCTGCGTCGCAAAACGTGTCTATCCCAGTAGCATTTTACAGCTGCTCGCAAGCCATCAACGAAAACACTGCAGCTTTCTTCTTTCCATAAAACCCACTACAGAAGCGTAGAATAAAGGTAAGGTTGGTCACGGAGGTACACCGTCGCACCTCTGTTTCCGAAACCCAGTTTCATTACTTTTTTTGTTTTCGTCGAAGAGATAGGCGACGGGGAAGAAATAAGGCGACACGAAGACCAAGCTCTTTTGGGCAACGATACGCGCGCGAGTGAGTATCGCATTCAAAACAAACAAAAACACACAAAACGAAGTTGGGAATGTGTTGCAATCTTTGCTGCAGTGGAAACACTTTACAACCCTGAACTCCTCTCGCCAGTAGTCTTTTCTTACTTTCGATGTCCCCCTCCCCTCTCGAACCGTGCTCGTGGTCGGGACGTCCGACGCGTAGAAAAGGCGGTACAAACTTCGTTTGGGGGAAGGGGGACGCTCCGGCTCCTCTTGACTAGCCGAGGCACGCGCGCTGCCGTGAAACGCGGCGGCCCCGGTCGCGCGTCGACTGCGGTCGTTTCTTTGCGTTTCGTTAAACTTTCCTGACTAGAATGAGACACTAGCTGTAGCCTGGTCAAAGGCGGGCATCACACCAAACCTATTTTTGTTCTATGCCCAGCTGAAACATCTCGAAGCAGGGCGGAAAGTGCAAACACCTTGCGACAAGTTCGTTGCGGCGGCTCTGGATGCGTCGTTCGAACTATGCTTCCGACCTGTCGACGAAGCAGAGAGCAAAAACCTTCCGGCTTGGCGCCGCAATAAATAACCACGCTCCGACAATCACCGCACCAAGGCCGCGCGCTCCCCTTGCAGAAAAAAAAAGAGCCCACGCGATTTGTCGCAAACGGCAAAAAAAAAAAAAATGTTCGTGCCCGGCTATCCGTCCACCTTTTTATATGTATGTACAAAACAACGAAACAATTGGATACCTCACACGCAGAACAAGCTGGAAAATAAAAATCGCCACACAAACGGACAAAAACAAGTAACAAAAGTGAACCACAAGAAAAAAAAGAGAACAAAAAAAAAAAAAAAACCTAGTGTCACCATTATTATCACTCCCTAGATTCCAGGTTCGTGCATGGCTGCCGGCATTCCTCGTCGTCCGGTACCGCGCACGCACGCACACACACACAGCTTCGATCACTCGCCGCATCCCGCGTCTTGACTTCGGGCCCGTCATCTCTGCCGTCATTCGCGCTGCCCCCGCCGAGGGGGCGCCACCGACGTGTGGGGCTCGCGCATGCGTTGTTTATGAGCTGCGGCCGTGCATGCGTCGGGTGGCGCTTGGTTCTGCAGCGCAGCGGCGCTTGGTTCCGTGGTGTTGTCGTGGGCGGCGCCACTAGGACTTGGGCTTGACCACTTCAACGGTGCCTCCCCAGCGTAGCCTGTAGAGGCCCGTGCGCCACCGTATGGTGGGGTCCCACAATGCGTTGAGGTACAGGTAGAGGGCACCGCACTCACGGAAGGTCCACGCCACCACAAACTCCCACTTGCTGAAGGGCAGCAGCCCATTCTGAGGAAACAGGGGCACAATGTCAGGTGCGTAACTTCAGACTGCACCTGTTTATCACACTACTTCGATTAGAGTTGAAGCAGCTGTCCGCGATCCACGCAACAAAAAATGTGAGCTTAATTTTTTGTTGGTTTTCCTTCCACTTGTTTTATGTTGTAATAAATGCTGTAATGGCCTTCAATGCTACTTGATAACTTTGTGAAAAAATATTAGCCGGACAATCTTTTGAAAGAAAAAGTTGATTTTCTCTTCTATCTTTTGACTTGGTTGATCCCATGTTTTCGTACCTTCAGATAATAAATGCGGCACCTGCGGGCAGCTCCATAGCAAATCGTAGCAAAATACGTCATGAAACAGAATTATTGCGTTCCCCTTCAAAGGGGTAATCTGCCATCGGGTTCTAGTTGGTATAATGGGGCAGGGTGGTGATGCCTGTCAAGCAACGGGCAGCACTGTTATTTCATTCCTTTTTTTCGGCACCCTCAGTTAGTTGGACTCAAAAAAAAAAAAACATTCATTGATTGATTAGCTATGTAATAACACTGTCCTTAGCAGTGGCATAGCCAGGAATTTGTTTTCAGTGGGGAAAGCTGAGGTGGCCACGATATCCATAACTTGTGGCGAGGGGAGGGAGGGCAAAACGCATGTGTATATTATTGGGAGCATTCCAACACCTATAGGAAGAATTCACTGGCAACTGTAGCTGTGTGCGCGGCTGACGAGCGCGTGCTCAAGGCGGGCTTCCACAGTTCTTTTGCAACGTGCACTCCGCACAATCAAGATTGCCGGGCTTAGCAGCCTATTAATGTGAGCTCGTTCTGAGCATGCACTCTAAACACCGCCCTCAAATATGGCGTGCAGTGAAAACCCCCTATAAGCGGTGCACCACTCTGCCTTGGTAGAAGGTTAGTAGCGCTGCCAGTGACAGCATCCATGCTACATCGTATAATAAAGTGCCCCCCGCTCCGACCTATTCTAATGCACCCGTAGCGTCCTAGCTGCGCCTGCACCAACCCGCAGCCTCGTTTGTCCATCTCGCTCCCAAATGAAGGTTTGGCACCTTGACATTCGAAACCCATCCACGTCCAGCATTGCCCTGGATGCGTTTTTCGCCGTTCGACACGCAGGAGTCGCTCGGGCTTGGGTTCAGTCGTGTGTCCCGCAGTTGTGAGTGACAACGACGACAACGCGCCGCAATGTTTTTTGTTTATCTGCGCTGAAGACGCCTTGACGACGCGTCTTGTGTTTCGACGGTCCGGAAATGACCACGGGGTGACATTCACCAGGGCCAGTAATCAGGAAAATTGACACGAGAACTATTTTTCCTTCCTCTCATTATCGGTCTGCTCTTCGCTCGCTGGCAGACTAAGTAGACATGCTGGGATTAAGATGATCTAGGTGCCTGCATGGAGGGGATCTGTGTCCTTAATTTTCGGGCCCTGTCTAACAAAAGTTAGCGGGGACTGTGACCTCAATCGTCTTGCATAGCGCTGCGCTCGGGTAAGCCGAGATTGATTAGAAAGGTTGGCCTACATAGGACGGCTATGCCAGTTCAGCCAAGGTCTAAGCAAAATGCTTCTGCTGAGTGCTGCACTGTGGTGCCACTGGGCGCATTAAGTTTGTGCTCCAGAGAGCAAGAGCTCGGTGCTCCTTTTACTAAACGGCCAAGAGTGCCACCGTAGACCAACACTCGAGCGCGCTCTTCGTGCACCGAGTGTTTCTCGGAGCGCGAGTGACTTTGCGCTCCGCGACGTCACGTCCACGAACAAGATTGCTGCGCTGTTGGGCAGACCATTGAGACGAAAGGTGCAGCCGGACCGCTGCCCCTTCTCAGTTGATTAGTGCTTAATCCAGCATGTAAAAATGAGTTGATTTGAAAGCCAAGACAGCAATTAGCATTCCAGAAAAGGTTTGTTTGTGCATCTCGCCTGAAAACGAATTCATCTATCAAACGGTTGTGTTGATAGCACAGCGACAGAAAAGTTGTCGAGATGAGGAGACATTCGGACCGTTGCCCCTTTTATAATGCTTAGCACAGCGAATAAACATACTTCGATTGGAAAGCCGAAACATCAGTTAGCGTCGATGAAAAGGTCTATTCATGCGTCTTGCCTGAAAACGAATTGATCTATCGCAGTGGTTCTGAACCATCGATGTTTCGCGAACCCCTTGTGGATCGGCTGAGATGATAGAGGACCCCATTTATGGTGAGGGGAGGGGAAAGGTATAGGCTAAATATAATGATGATTAATTAAATGAATATAACTAAGGGCTAGTGTGAAGTGGACTTCTCTTTCTGACATACACACAAGAAAATTCGCCCGAAAACTGAAACATTTCTTCTGGACCTGAGAAAAGACGACTTTTATTGCCGGGCTTAGGTGATGAGGCAGGGCTTCGTGGACCCCTAGAATGCCTTTGCGGACCCCAAAAGGTCAGCGAACCCCCATTTGAGAACCACTCATCTATCGAATGAGCGTGCCGATAGCTCAGCGACAGAATAGTAGTCCTAATGAATAAACAGACTGCTGCCCTTTTTAAAAGGCTTAGCCCAGCCACAGCGAATAAAGATACTTAAATTGGAAAGCCGGAACATCAGTTAGCGTTGCAGGAAAGGTTTGTTCATGTACCTCGCCTGAAAATCAATTCATCTATCAAATGGTAGCGTGCCGACAGCACAGCAACAGAAAAGTTGAGATGAGAAGACAGTCGGACCGCTGCCCTTTTTAGAATGCTTAGCCCAGCGAATCAAGATACTTTGATTGGACAGCCAAAACATCAGTTAGCGTTGCGGAAAACATTTGTTCATGCACCCCGCCTGAAAATGAATTGACTTGTTATCTATTGATTGACCGTGTGCCGGTATCGGTGTAGCTCCCATCTCGCGCTGCAAGACGGAACCATGAAATACCTGACAAGTTTGAGGGTTTCCCGTGTCGACAAGCGGGTTCAAAAATGTTGTCTTCAAGTTAAATTTGAACAGCATGCATGGTCAATAAATAGATCGGCTAAGGTAACTTTCCACATATGTGCTCGAAGCGAGTTTTCAAACCTTTCAGGAATATTAAAACATTCCTAGATACTTCATAACGTTGCCGTCTCTTACTTTACACTCTGCCGCTCCACACGGGCCTAATTAATTTATCTTCGAAATACTCTTGGCTTCTGTCACCCGTATAGTACAAGAGATGCCGGGTTCATCATAACCGTGCGGTCGGAAGGAGCTCGTGTGGCTCGTCAATAGTTTCGGTGTGTCGCGCGCTCCTGTACGCCATACGCCGTAAAAGTAAAGAAGTGCGGACTTAACACGCCCACTGTCTTGCCGCATGCTTCCAATAGGGTCGGCTCGATTTGGGGGGGGGGGGGGGGGGGGGTGTTGAAGGCTTATAAGTTCTCTTGCTATGCCACTGGCCCTTCGATAAACTACTTATTGGTCTGGACACTTGGACGGTTTCTGCCCTAGTAAATTTTGTCACAAGTAGTGCAGACCCAGGTAGGAGTAAAAAAAAGAAGTTTAAAAAACAAATAAAAAAAATAATAAATTTTTTGCTAAAGCCAATTTTAGCCAGTCTCACAAAACTTTTACCTGTTTGGAAGTACAGAATCGGGCAGTATTTTGGGGAAAACGTCTCACCAACAGAAAAATGTCAAGTGAGGTCTGGCAGCCCCTGAACTGCTAGTGCCGAGCGCTCCCCAATTAGCCAGTTAATTTCAGATCTTATAAGGCAGCATAACAGCTTGAGATTTGCAAGGGAAGCAGGAGCTGTCGATCCCTACAATTGTGAAAGAGCAGACGATCACAATTTCATCCTGCTTTCGATCTCACATTGCTGCGGTACTCTGCTCGTAGCAGACAATCTGCTTTTTTGGTCTGTTAGCAGACGACGGACGGCGTTTTCTCTTCATTTTCGTCTGCAAACAACACTTTGTGGTAGACAACATCGGTTCTTAGCCCGCGTTAGCAGACAAACTGTCTGCGAACGATACCCAAGCTTGCTTCAGGTGAAACAAATTAGATCTTGCTCACCGCGACGAAAATCTGACCTTGGTAATCTAAGCTGTGGCCACACTTCATACATTACACAAAACCGTCCGCAGACACTGTCCAAGGCACGCTCCTTACTCTCACGACACTCCTGTCACATTAATGAGTCACACAAAGACCGTCTGCAGACATGTTGAATGCATACATGTGTACAAAGTAAACATATGCTTTGAACATGCGCGAGACATATCCACAGATACTTCTGTCACCGTGTATGCAGTAAACAGTTTGTCCGCTATTGCGGGTTTAGGAACCAATGTTGTCTGCCACGAAGCGTTGTTTGCAGATAAAAATGAAAACACCTTACAGCGTCTGCTAACGGACCAAAGTGGATCGTCTGCTACGAACCGAGTGCCGCAGCGACACTAGATCGAAAGAAGGTGTCTTGCGAGTGCCGCAGCGTGATTGTGGCTTTGGAGCCCAAGGCGACGGCAGGGCGGCCTCCACGCACCTGCACAATGCTGAGCAGCATCCAGTCGAGCAGGAACCAGAGAAGCAGGTGAAGCAGGTACACCACAAAGGCGTCCCACTGGAAAAGGAAGCTGGCCGCCCATGCCACCAGCATCCCGAGCAGCATGCACTCAGAGAACGGCTCCAGCGCCGTCGTGTGCGGGACCATGGCAAACCGCAGCTTGGCCCACCTGCCCGGGAACAAAAGTGCCGAGTCACTGGGCGGCACCGCAAAAACTTGCGTCGACTAGACCAGAGGGACTAAAACAATTGCGGTGGCTTCGCTCGGCTATGCCAGGATATACGTAGCGCGAGCTTATGTGCACAAAATGAGAGGCGCTATCAAGTGGCTCCGGTGCAGCAACAGACTTGGCTACTGAGCAACGGAGGCGCACAGCTCGGCACGCAGCAGCGCCAGTGTGTCTGCCGCGGCTATGACGTCACTCCTCTGGAATGCGCAGACCGGCGAGGGGCGCGCGGTGGTGGCGGTGGCTTTGGCGCGCCAGCTGTGCGCCGTGTGACGTCACTGCTCCTCGCGCAGGCGCAGCACGGAGCACAGCTCATTATGCGAGCCATGCGAAACTGCTCAACCTCGGCCAGTGTAGCGCACGCTACAAAAAGCTACGCTTGTGCGAGTCTTGGCACTTTGTTACGCCATCACCTGTGGCGCCTAACGCAGAGCAGGCTCAAAAGGCGAAACAGAAACGTCATCGTACCAGTTGCGTCACGCTAAAATAACACCCTATATCAGAACTAATTACGGAAGGCAGAAATTAAAATATCAAATAACTACCTTATTAAACAATGGACCCGATATGAACTATGAACAACCTTTCCCATTATCTAAGAAAGAGTGCAGAGCATTGCTGGTGGGTGGTGATATACACTTTCAGCAAACTTAAATTACTTTACATTAAATATCCGTTATGATTATTCGTTTTGCAATCTATGTTACATTTCATTTCCAGCGCTGACTCCTGCGTTTTACATGCATAAATTGTACAGCTATACCTTGACATTTACTTCAAAATATCATCTAGTGTGAACATTTTTCAGAGCATCTTTTTTTGTTGCCGTTTTACCTTTTGTCGTAGCGTTCGGCTGAACACTGTTTTTTATATTGAACTGTGAAAGACCAGTGCCTCGTCAGGCTTGAGGGCCTTTAGCACTAGCCCTTCTTTTGAACCCAGACCCCAAAAAAATAATAAAACAAAAAACAAAATTGCAAATGCAATTTTTTTAGTCTTAGTATGGTGCCCTGAACGGGCCTTTGACTGATGCATTAAACGTCCTACTCTGACCTTCTGGCAGGAGCGGACCCAAAGTGGCAACAGACGATGCCTCAAAACTCAGTGTCGGGCTGTCGGAGATCGCGATCCCGGCGGTTGGGCGAAGAAAGTTCCGGAAAAAAAGCACGAGAAAATGCGAGCGTCGTCGCCGTTGCAGCGTCCCAACTCTCAGCCATCGGTGCTTCCGTGGACTGCCAGGCTGGAGAGTGACCCACAGCGGAACAGGCTTCCGCCATGTTCACCGCCGCCTCTGCGACATTGCTAGGGTAGCGGCCAGCGACGGCACAATGCTTTTATGGCGTCGTCGGGGAGAAATCGAGGGACAGCTTTCTTGGACACGGTAAATGCACTGGTCAGGGACACGTCGTAACTTTACGTACGGCCTCAGGACGTTCGAGCTACGTCGTGTTGCTCTGTAGCAGACCGTTTTAATGTTTCCGAAAGACGAAAAAGTGTTTCCCGCAATTTCTGAGAAGGCTTCAAATGGCTAGCAACAATGATTTTAAACGTCGAGGTGGCAAAAGTGGTTTTCAGGGTGTCTCGTTCCTTTCCTCTTTGCCGACAATCTTTTCGTTTGTGCTTTGTAACGTAATGTCGGCACTGCGTTCCCCCGACTGCCTCGTGGGCGCTGCCACCTTGGTGCTTGGTGTAGACCGGGTACAATTGGCGATCCTCGCGATTCGAAAGTGCGCCTTCGTAAGGTGAACGTCGCAGAGCTCGGGCGACGTCGTTTTACTTCATCGCCACCTGAAAACGAGCCATAGAAACCTTTTCAACCCGTTGGTGGCATGCAGAAAGCGGTGTTTGGGTGACTCCTACGTGTCTGTCCACATTCTCGTTGACCCGAGAGGGCACATCCGTGTGGCTCAGCCTCGCGCACCTGGACAAATAAGTAGTGCTGCTGTGCATCTTTACGGCAAAAAGACAGTTGGCCGCGACGGAGATCTCGCGCCTCTGCTGTAAAAGAAAAATTTACCCGTTAAGGTACGACCGCCAGACTGGGGTCTTCGGCATGCATACGCAGTGGTTTTGCATTGACAACCACAGCTATGTCGCTCATCCAGATCGAAATGGGTAGGAATGGGGATTGACCCCAGGAACCCCCCCCCCCCCCCCCCCCATGCTTTGAGCTGCGGCACGTTAACACACTCAGCGACCGATCCCCCTCACCCACCCCCTTCCCCTCGGTTAATGCTAAGATCCAGGAATTAAAAAAATTGGGATGTGTGTATGTTTATACAGCCTAGAACTTGGTCTGCCTCAACGGGCGACGAGTCTCCCCACTGTAGATGAACAAGTTAGCCAGTGCAGTACAACCGCTAGGCTGGGGTCTTTAACGAGCATCACGCAGTAGTGATTCACGACCGCACGCCGGTACAAGATCCAGGAAATACCACTGGGGAACTCCGACACCAATGACACCAAAAACGAGGAAGTTTCGGTTCCGGACAAGTGTTGACGATTGGACCAGTCGGTAGTGAACCTTCATTAAAAAAAACGGTGTGAAGGACGCGGACAAAGAGGAGACCAACTCTTCCTTGTCCACGTCCTTTCGCAAAGTTTGTCTCTTGAGACTAGTTCCAGCAAAAAGCGACGAGTAGTTGTCGCCTCCTAAAAGTAATTTCAAGGAAAGGGTAGCCTCTATTCTGTGCAGCGTTGTGTCACGAGAACTGCCATACAAAGGAACTGCTTCAGGTCGGAGGCACGCAGAAGGCAATTAACTCCGCGAATGTAGGTCAGTGTGTCCTCCGTAGATAAATAAACGTTACAAAGGATGCCACTGCGTTACCGGGATCAAAATTTGTGTTTGTGCTGCAGAAAAGAAGGACCCTGCATAGGGTGTGCTCCGACACTAGAAGGAATCTCGGCACTTAAATTGTTGAAGCCCGGAAAACGAAGACAAGACGCGCTGAAAAATCGTAAGGACATACCTCGCTACCCTCGTCTGGAACAAGCCCACCTCGCAGAGACCGGAGTTCTGCCACGCAGGCTGCGAGCTGATCTTCATTTTCCAGCCCCTACATTGATGGCAGCATTGCAAAGAGGCAAAGGGTGAAGTGAGAAAAGACAGCCGCCATGTAGATACTTAGCAGGCATCAGAGAGAGCTGTTAAGTAACTAATCAAAAAGTACCTAACTTAAGTCATTACAATTAGTTACGATTCTAGTAACAAAATGCTTTCTAAGTCGCTACAACTGTGGCCTAGTGACATTTCTTGAATAGCTTGCAACATATTTGATTGCAGCTATATCTCAAAATTGTGTCCAGAAATCCAAAAAGCTACATTTCGGGGCATGTCGTCCCGAAGTACAAAGAAGCATGTCATGCGACTTCGAATAAGTCTCGCAAAGTGCTTCTATTTCGGGTCAATGTTTCGAAACAGGAAGACATTTCGTATCGCTTCTGTCTTAAATATGCCTCACAATGCAAATATTGCAATAAAAAAAAAAAAAAAAAAAGTTTTTTTTTTTTTTAGGGAATTTGTTTTGCGACGCATGTGTCCTATTCAGTTACTTTTCAGAAGCACAAAAGTATGGCACACCTGTAATGCTTTTACGGGCACCTCAAGGGACACTCTTATAAATACAATAAAAAAAAAGGCAATGAAAGGTTATGACAACCAGCAATTCCAGTTGAGGTACCTCAGTTACTTATTCAGTAAAGATATTTACGAACAGAACAAATAGTTTGGGGTTAAGAAATTATGACGGCAAAGCACCTTTCTTCCCATTTCCAAATCCCATATCTCATGGACGAGCCAACCGACTTACTCCAACTTCTTTCGTTTAAACGAGGATGAAAAGAAACGCCTTCCTTAGTATAAGAAAACTTGACAATTATTCCATTTTTCCTTATGAGCACACGCCCACCATTGATTAAAAAATGAAAGCTTTAGGAAATCCTAGGCTTCCACCAAAGAAGCTAGATTGAAATCACATCCTTTCTCCTGAAAATTTATTGTAGATCAGAGAACAGAAACCCCACCAGTCCATTCTAAAAAAATGAATCGTTCAGGAGGGCTGACATGTGCTCTTAGGCCTCATTCACACAGCCGTCATTTCCCCCGTCCCGGCGGCAGCGCCGGGCGGCGTTCCCGCCGGGGAAGAAGATTTTCGGACTGGTTTGATGCCCAAATTGCGCCGGCGAAACCGAAGTGCGCCGAAAGACGATGCTCTACGTGTCCGGGACTGATGGGAGACGGGGGCGCTGGAGCCCCCCAATGGGGAAGACCAATCCCAAAATAGGAAACTTTGGCTCAATCTGGCGGAGTCTGAAAAGTTGGGTGACCATGGGCACGGCCGCAAGAGAGGGGATTGACCGTTCCGTGCCCCAACGAAGAAGCCAACAAAGTTCTTTTCGGGAAGGAGCAGGGCCATAGCGGGACGATGTGCACGTTGTGTGATGCTTACGGCTCTCGACCAGCGGGCACACAGAAATTTGAGTTTACCACTGGGCTGCTGCTCAAAACGGTGAGACCACATCGGTTCCTTTACGATAGACGTAAATGCGATTTTAAGGAAGAACAGCCCAAGGAAGAGAACAGAATGGTCGATCAACAAGGAAGAAATGTGGCATAACGAGCGATAGGTATGAATTATGCTCGCAGTGAGTTTTATCGTTTTTGTCTTGAAAAGTAGAGACAAATAAAATGTTTTCAAACATGCAAGATTGTTATCGCCGACCAAACGCAAGGTCCAAGAAACAAAAACAGTTATGGTGGCGCCCATTGACGCCGATCGTCTGCTACCTTTGGTGATCGGTGCTGCCGCAATGTAGTCGCGAAGAGGGGGTTACAAGATTGGTGGTCTAGGGAAGTGGGAAACTGTGCACAAAATTAATGGGTTATATCATTAATTTTGTACCCAGTCTAACGGGGTACAAAAGTTTGACGCAGAATTTGAAAGGAGGGTGAAAAAAGGTTCCTACCACTCAATACAAAGGGCACAACCACCAGCATCCATCATTGTAGCCACCGCTAGCTCCTCCTTCGCCACTGGTTTGAACACCCTACCGGCCCCGCACCAACCCAATTTTGGCACAGCGCAAACGACGCTGGCGCCGGGAAGGGGCGAGGAACCGGCTGTGTGAATGAGACCTTACATTGCTTTACTAATGCTACAGCTTGGCTCTTCATAAAGTCCTAACAAATCGTCACTGTGGCTCCTGGAGGACTCTGTCTGCACTGCTCGACATTTGGCAGATTCTTATAACTCCTATGGAAGCAAAGACCACGGAAAAGCGAGGCATCTGGCCAAGCCCCTCACCTCTCTGCAAAGGACTTTGCAAAGAAGAAGTCTTCTGCAAGGTACTGCGCAAAGGCCCTGATGCCTCCAACGTCGTCCAGAAGCTTTTTCCTCATGAGGGCCGACATTCCTGTGGCGCAGTTGATCCGCAGCAGGTCGGCTGCCAGGTAGATGCGCGCGTGGGCGGTCCCGAAGAACACCTGGCACATGTCACAGAGGGGATGCGTTTCATGATGAGGAAGGGTATAAAAAGGGTGCCACATGTCACAAGAGTAACAAGTCACCAGAATTTCAGAATAGGGATGTTACGAGAGGCAAAGAAATGTCACACAGGGAGACATGTGGTGTTGTGTGAATATTCAAAATTTTGAATAGTTGTTTCGAACAATACACTATTCGACATTCGCTTCGAGATGAACTGCGATGCTCATATTTTTTTAAAGAATTGACTGCGGCAGGTTGCCCCGTTGGGCATGTTTCTTACAGAGCATGGGTGCATTGAGGAGAAGCAACATTAGCAGAAGCAAGCTCCGCGGGTGTTGCTTCTCTGCAGAGCACAGGTGATTGATAAGAAGCGCACTCAACAAGCTAAAACGCCGAGATCAACACTTAAAAAAAGTTTGAATATCGCAATTGCGTCCTTGGGAGAAAAACACTTTCAAAACAAAAGAGTGCACATGTGCCTGGTGTATTTAAATAGAAATTGAAACTTTGTTAATATTGATATCTACATTGTAAAATTTTTAAAATGAAACTGTGACTGTTACGCAAGAGTATATGTTAGGCAGAGATGCCCTAACAATCTGCATTCATCATTCACAATCCTTTTTTTTTTCACATTCAAGACAGAAGAAAGAATATTTGCATGAAGCAAGATTGGGAAATCCACTCAATTAGCCCCTATAGGTTTGATTTTTTTTTTTGTCATATATGTCGTTAATTTGCCATCCCAAGGCATTCTGAGTAGGGTTGTGCGAATATTTGAAATTTCGAATAGGAGTTTTGAATAATACACTATTCGATATTCGCTTCGAGAAGAACTTCACTATTCGCGTTTTTCGAAGTGTTGATTGTGGTGGGTTAGCCCTGTTGAGTGCGCTTCTTGTTGAGCACCAGTGCACTGCGGAGAAGCAATACCCGCGGAAGCAAGCTCCGCGGGTGTTGCTTCTTCGCATTACATCGGTGCTCGGTAAGAAGCGCACTCAACGGAGTAACCTGCCGCGATAAACACTTAGAAAATTGTGAATATCGCAGTTACGTGCTTGGACGAAAACCATACATTCAAAGAGGGATGATGCACGCGTGCCGGCTGTATATGAAAAGAAATAAAAACTTTGTTAACCCTTTCCCTACCATGGACGACCTGGGTACGTCCACACTGTTTGTACCCCTCCCCCCGACGAGTACAGCCCAGTTTGTCCACGCTACCATGGACAAACTGGGCTATACTCCGTTTCACCTTATGCAGTACCGCAGTGAAGGCTAGAAGCGCGAACTCATAGCGTTGGCAGCTGCCCTTGGTGCACGAGAGCTTGCGCCGCAGAGATGTGCCCTAGAGCAAGGAGCTTGCGCTTGTAGCCTTTCCTGTGGTACAACACAAGGTGAAACAGAGTATAGGGCACATAAAAAAAAAATCGGCATTTTAATTTTGTTTTTGTTGAAATTTTTGCGGTAGGCAAAGGGTTAATGTGTATACTGTAAAACCCTCTATTTTCGGGGCCCCTTGTTTCTGTGAATCGGTCACAGAGGACATAGACGCGGTCACTAAATTTCGCGAATCCCAGAGACCTGCATTAAAATTCTTAAAAGACCGAAATCTTTGTGTGCCTTTAAGTTTCATGAAAATTAAGGGCTTGCAAACATTAAGAGCTTTACAGTATCTACATTGTAGTAAAAGTTTTAAAATTAAACTGACTGTTTTGCAAGAGTATACGTTGGGCAGAGGTGCCCTTTCAACCTGCGTAAATCATGCGGGAGTCATTCTTTTTTAACTCGAAATTAAATAAAGAATATTGAAGATTTGTAAATCACTCAATTGGGTATAAGTGGGCCATTTCCATTGGATTCATTTTATGTCAAACTTGTTGTTTACTTACCATCCCAAGACATCAGACCTTCTGAGGTCACAGTTCATAAATATAGATAAATTAAACTTGGCTTATAAATGAAGAAATGGAACCTTCACAAGTTTCGCTGGGGTTTTGTCTAAGCATTATGTCATGGTAGTAAAAGGCGTGGAAAAACTATTCTATATTCGATTAGAAAATATTCGACCAAAATGACTATTCGCTTCGAATTTGCTTCAACATCTACTATCCGCACAAGACTAATTCAGAGGTCAGTCCTGAGGCCACAGACTATAGTCAGATTAAAAATGAGCTGATAAATTGACAAGTGGAAGCTTGGGAACAACTTTCACGAGCTTTACTGGGTTCTCATTTAAGCATGGTGCAAAAGTAGTCAAAGGCTTAGGGAACCATTCCATATTTAATTAGAAAATTTTCGGGAAAAAACCACTCGGTTTGAACTCAGAATCCACTATTTGCACATGACTAGAGGTATGTCACAAGAGTAACAAGGCAGGTACAGGTCACAAAAATTTGAGAAGGGGAATGTCACAAAGGGACACATCACAAGGGGGATTTTGCAAGGGGAAGGAAACTGTCACAAGGCAAATTTCAGAAAGGTAAGGGGGATGTTAAAAAGAGACGCATCAGAGGAGGAACGGAAAATTCCCTAAAGGAGAGGAGGATGTTACAGAGACATGTTGCTGCGTGCGCAGCTGGTCAAGTAGGCAGCGTGCCCGTGGCCTAACAGTTACCGTGCTTGCCTCCCCCGCGAAAGGTCGAGGTTCGGTGCCTGTCTACGGATACACCTTTTTGTGGTTTCTGTAATGTCACGTTCTGATAAATTCGAGAACCTTGTTGCTTATTCGAGGTTAGAATGTTCTATACGCCAAACCTTCTACGCCGATTGTTCCAGAAGCCCACGCGTCTACATAAGGGGCTCTTTGTGGCGGGCCGGAGTCAGTCTTGCCCATGTTCGATCCTGCTGTTTCGCCGCCGTCGACGCTAGTCTTTTTTCTACTTTGCTTTGGGCACAAGTTCAAACCATTATACGTTCAGTTTGCTTCAGTATTTACCATCTCATCAATTGTCCATCGTGACAATATCACTAATCAGATTTTATAGGAGCAAGCAAAATGTCACAAGGCCTAATTCACAAGCGATGTCACAGATGTCAGAAGGTAACACACATCACAATTTCACAAGGTACATAAAAAAACACTAATAGAGAATTTCGCAAGGGTGACGGGAAAGTTGGAAGGAAGACACATTACAATTTAAGAGACTATGACATGCACCAGACTTTCTCTCTTCTCAGCAGAAGTTTCAGTTTTGTACGCTGGCGCTTGAACTTGTGCACCTGATAATGAAGTGGCTCCGAAGTCGCCAACATTATTTCAAAGTTTAGTCTGCTCACGGCCTTCATGCTTGCCACAGAATGTGATGGGTGCACCATCAATCAATCAGCGAATGTGTGAATGTGAAGGAGCGAGTTAGTGCAGATGAGTGAGCAGGTTAGTAGTTTGAGTGAACTTATTCATCTGACTGGGTGAGTGTGCATGTCTGTTTGCATGTGTGCAAGCATGTGATTGGAAATGAGTGAGTGGGAGCCCATGCAACCTCCTCCCAACCAGCTTGTGCTAACCTGCGGACTCTTATGACTCACCTTCTCGAGAATGGCAGGGAAGCCCTTCCTATCACAAACGAAAGGCATCTGATGCACAAGGGCCACATTGTCCGTCATGGTCAGCACCATGTCCAGCAGGGTGTCTTCTTTCACTGCACACACGCACACATATACGTCACGACATAGATACATACTTTCACAAGGTCGAGGACTGGGCCGATAGGTGTACACTAAATGTGACGATGATCAAATAGCATTAAAATGCAAAGACCAAGAAAAGGCAAAGACAAGACGCAGCAGCACTTGCCTTGTGCGCCGTTTTTAGTACTGTTTGATTCCTATCCTGTTAAAGAAAGTGCCACCGCTTACAGTACAGCAGAAAATTGTTTCCTGCCCTACAACCAGTATGCATTGAAATCAAATTGAATGTCATAAAAAGAACCTAAACTAAGCTTCTTTTCTACTTATTGCTGAAGTTATGACGAAGAAAGTCACTAACTTCAGCACGCTTCTTTGGTACATACAGCTGTCTTTATGAACTCGGCATAACTTTAAGGATATTCGCCGAGACATCACGAAAACTTTGTCGCAGATTTAATTCATAGTCCGTACGACAGAGCCTAAGAATGCGTCGACGACAACAGAAAATGAACGTGCTTGGGTAGCACTTTAATTAAAAAGAGCTTCCCATAGTCACCGACAAAATGAGAACAGTACGACGTCTCTTTCGGAAGCCCAGAATCCGGCATGTGCTCATCGTCTTCTGCCACGCTTCGGCTGCGCTGCACGCTCGCAAGCAGACGAGACGTTGAAGCGTAATCGAAGGTAAGAAGCTCACACCAGAGGCGGGACAAATGAAGCTTGTCCCCGACACTCTCATGCTGCCAGAGAAGCTTTGGCATAACGGCCGACACTGCTAAAAGTCGGCTTTTTCGGGGTGGGGGGAACAGCCCACGCGTTGCGTAGCGGCCGACTTCCATGCCGAAACCGTGCGAGCACGGTAGACGGTTGCAGACGGCACTCACTTCTCAGCCCGCTGTCGGAGACCAGGATAAGGTCGTACTTGGCAGCTTCATAGCCTGGTTGCATATTGTTGATCTTGGGGTTCACCCCGACGGGGCAGCCCCCTGCAAAAACAAAAAAATATCAGCACTAAAAAAAAAAAAAAAAAAGAAGTTTTGATTTACGGTTTGAGGTTGATTTGCACAGTTGCGACCTAAATTCCCTTGCGAAGCGAGTTTATGCCAGCGCGATCTATCTGGTGGTAGCTGTGGACAGCGGCGTAGACTTTCCATTTTACCGGGGGGGGGGGGGGGGGGGGTGCTGCGTGCTATCTTTTTGCCAGAACTGGAGATTGAAGCTAACGAAAGCCTGCTGGGATTCCATTTCCCATGTATTTTGTCAATAAAGGCAACGTGGGCGTTATTTTGTTTACATGCCACTACTATAGAAGCTCGTTGCATGGCACGTAAACAGAGTGTAGGTAAGGATCATGACCAGGGCCTTTGCCCCCCACCGGATCTCACCAGGGGGGGCACGAGCCCTGATGTCCCCCCGAAGTCTACGCCTTAGGCTGTGGAGCACTTGGCATCTCTATATACAGTGCAATCCACATGTAACTATAATGAGAAAACCCGAAAATTCGATCGTAATAACCGATTATCGTACCTGGATTAGAAACTGAGCATTTCCAGTCAAGAAACTCTAGAAACTGATCATTATAAGTGGTAATCATTTTATGTGAAATCGTTATAAGAGGATTGCACTCTATTTCCTATTTATTTATTTTTTCACAACATTTTCTTTCTGGCCCGAGAAGTTCTGACAATGTTTTGACAACAACACTGCAAAAACCTCCACTCCAGTGAAATACAGTTCGAAAGTCGCCTCATCAATGGCGCCAGCATGCCAACGTTTTCTCTTGCTGTAAGAGATCACGAGAAACCAATCGGAAGCGAGTGCAAATCTGTGAACGACCCTTTAGGGGGCTACATCATCTACGACTATCAACATGTCGGTCTTTGATACAACGAGTCAACCGTACCCCTCTAGAAAGGAGGAGTCGATGGCATGACACTGGCTACTGGGACAAGCCATCACGTATGGGGCATTTAAAGTGATCAGTGTCATCGAGCACTGGCCAGGTGGCGCGAGCCACCGCCCGTATAAAAAGAATCCTGACATGTGTGTCCTTCTATCCATCCATCACACGTGCATCAAAAACTGCGGAATACAGCACGTTTTGATGAAGAAACGACGGTGTACCTGATCTTTGCGACGTTTTTTGGCGTAATTAAAATTGGTTGTCAGTCGGCGCTCTGTGCATGTGCATGTGCCCTTCGTTCGTCTTCGCATTGTTTTTAATTTCAGTCGTATAGAAGTTGGGCTGGACGATTGGTTGATTAACCTTCCGATTAATCGATTAAGACTTTAATCGCGATCAATCTTTTTAACCAGTTAATCGTTTTTTTAATCGGTACCCTAAAAAATGTAAACTACGAAGCTTTTTTCTTTTTACTTCCTACCACAATGTCAACCAACAAAATAACTCGCTCCTGCCGGAGAATTAAAAAAAAAACATTCTTTGTCTTGGAATAGGAGCAGCAGCCAGTGATGTCTTTGAACCGCCTGTTAACTGCACACCAAACTACATAACCTCAGTATGAAATGTACATTGCGCCGTGTATCAGACAGTAAACGAATACTTCAAACATAATTGAACAGTTTAGTTTTTTAGGCATATTCATACCTGAAACTCAGTGCAACCAAAAAATTTATTAATTAATCAATTAAACGGTGGCGAATAGTCAGGTTAAAATTTTTAATTGATGCCCAGGCCTATATAAAACTTAGAAGACATAAAAAGGATCAATATGGCTAGCTGGACCAGTTGGATATTGTCCATTGTAACACTCTATGCCAAAAAGAATCGTGGACAAGAAAGAAGACACAAGTGGATAGTCTATGCCAGATCTTGTCCATTTCTGTCTTCTTGCCTACACTTTTTGGTGTAGAACAATACAATAACCTAAAAAGAAATTAAAAAAAAAAAAATGAAGGGAGAAAAAAGTTGCACTTGCCTACAAAAACCCGGGCATCCACCAGCGGATGCTTCTCCATCAACCTGTTGACCAGCATTATTGATGGATCACTCTCATCTTGGATGCAGAATAGAATTTCATACTGCAATGAGAAAGCAGACAACAAGGACTGTAGTAGTACCTTACCGTGACGCCAAAAACACATCTGAAAACATACTTCAGTACAGGAATGCAAATGTTGTTTCTACGTTGACTCGAGACAGCAAAACATAAAAATAGTTCATCAATTTGAGGAATACAATCAAAATGTATTATAATCCCAATGTTACTCAACCATTAGCTCGCACTATCCTTGGGATTTTTGTAGACTTACTTTGACGTATTGAATCACTCCTGTTTCCGACACTGTTTTCAGTGAGATTCTTCAACACTTGTTGCTAATGTTTTTTTATACTGTAGTTGTAGCCTTTGATTAGAGATCAACAGCACAATAAGGTGCAGCCATTATACTGTGAGAGATCACATAATGGTTTAATGCAGTTAACTCTTAACGAGTTGTCGCCCTTTCTTTGACGAGCTCACTCCATTTATGAACACTTTTATCCGACAAAACTTGCCTCATCATACTGTGCTTTTAACCTTGCACATATTTCAATAATTGACAAGAAACCAGTTCATAATGTATTGTTCAAAAATGTGATCAGCTACTTCTTCGGTCATATGTCTGTCAAATCTCCCAAATTTCACGCTAGCATGTAAATGACCGTTTCAAAGAAGTACAGATTCCACGGCCTCGCATAATGAATATCCACTCCCATAGCATGCATTGTTACTTTGACACTCTATTTATGTCACAATTTAATTTCGAATGCCCACGCCTTATGTCATCTCATCTCTCAAAGTACACATGCCTCTCCTGAGGCCCACAAATGGGCCTCGTTTGTGGGCCCATTGTGCACTCTTTACAAACGAGGCCATGAAGGCCTCGTTTGTAAAGAGTGCAGCTATTACTGTCGAGGCCGGTTATCAGGCACGTAGCCGAGGAGGGAAGAGGGGGGGGCTCACCCCCCCCTCCCCCGAAATCTTCCATTTTGGTGGGACCTCCTCTCCCTCCTCCCCCTCATACAGCATTTAGTCATGGGCGGCGCCCCCCCCCCCTCCCCCGAAACGACATCCTGGCTACGTGCCTGCCGGGTATAATGAAGTCAATGGGAATCGGAAATCAGTTTGCTATATCCGCTGTTTCGTTTTAACCGACTTCGGTTAACGAAGTGCAAAAGGAAATGGGAAATCGTAATCGCGTCACTGCAACCACTATTTCGTTATAACCGACTTTGTTACAACCTGTCTAGACAGTATTCGAGAAGATGTGACACCGTCCATTACCAAGAAAGAAAATTAATTTAAAAAAAAATAGGGATTGAAACTAAAGAAGCGTCTAACTCCGACCGAGGAAGAAGCACCCAGCTAACCGCCCGAAAGTTGAACCACAGACACAACAGGCTTGTGAAAGTGACGGGCAAGGCTGACTCTCCAAGTCGATAAAGGAGGCAGCAGAATCACAACGGGCGAGAGTGAGCCCAATCTTGGCAGGAGGTACTGCAATGCGGTAGGTGCAAGCTTTGTTCTCGACAGACTGTCGGTAGGGGACTATCTCGGTGCCTCGACCTTGACCTGTCAGTCAAAGCACGAGGACTGACGACAGCAGATTTGATTCCCAGCTACAACTGCATGCCCCTGGCCTGGCCAAGGTCAATAGGTTAGACTTGAGGCATCAAGTTTATTAACTTTAATTTCAATATCAGCACCAGAATCAGTCACCTTTTCAAGTAACTCTTTTTTTTTCCTCCTGAATTTAGAGAATGCTCGATGCCTCTCTTGTTATTTAAGTTGAACTTTCATTACCACAGCCCAACATAGCGTTGTGGCATGCTGAGACTGCTCGCTACTGAAGCTCAATACTGAACTGCAACTAAAAATCAGAGACTAGAGATGAAATTGCTATCGAGCTAGGTGAAACCAATACAGTCAACGGCACTTCAAATGTGGTGTTTTTCCGGTCCCTTTACCTGCCAATGCCACATTGGCAGCAAAGACGTGTAGTACCATATTTTCCGGACTATAGTTCGCAGGGGCAGATTTGGGGTCAAAAATAAAAGTTTTTGCTTGGATAGTTTGCACCCCATGCATAGTCCACGTGCTGTGCATAGTCCACACCTAATGCTTAGTCCAAACATAAAAATTATCATACACAGCACACCTTAAAGGGCCCCTTAAAAGGTTTTTTTTTTACACAATCTGGTTGGGACACGCATGTCAAAATTTTTTTTAAGAAAATGTTTTAGTTTAATATTGAAAGATGCGATTTAGTCGTTAGTCATCTCCTTTCCACTTGTTTTCTCTCTCGGCATTTCGGGCCCGTGGAGGAGAGGTGGATTGGCTTGGCCATCAGGTTGGAGTGGAGAGAGTGTACGACCATCTCATTGAGATGGAAAGAGTGTATGACTATTCCGTGACGTCAAGGACCTTGCACGCAGAATTTAAAATCTCGCGCCGCTCATATTGCTCTGAAAAATTAATTTTTTCACGTAAAATTAATTTTTTGACACGCGTGTCCCAACCAAACTGTTAGAAACTTTTTTTTTTTTTTTTTTTCAGTGGTTTTTCAAAAAATGCTTGCTGTATTAGCTCACAAAGAAGCTTGAATTATACATAAGTCAACATTAATATACTCCGTTATTCATAAAATCCTTCATTTCTTGTCACAGTGAACGATCTAGAAGAAAAAAACAAATCTTTGTATAGTCCACACCTGTAGACAGTCTGCACCGGGTAACATTTAAACTTTTCGACATGTTTAATCTGCGGAATGTACATTGGAAAATACTGTAAATGAATGCCGTTATAGCGGACAGCTGCCATTTCGAGTGCTGTATTGGGTAGCATGAGCTGTGCTGGGAGATGTCGTTTTCATTTTTTCTTTCCACAACGCCGGTGCAGTTATTTCTGCCAGATAAAATTACCTAGACTTTCTGCATTGTCTGATGCCGATAGAGCAGTCTAGACAACACTTCCAAGGGACCCTGTCGATGTGAATAATTCCCCCTCCCGTCATGTTTGGACAGACGTGATAGAATATTTGCACTGCACTTCTAGGAGGCACACTGCCTGATAAAGAAAAATAAAGGTTTCCCCAAAAAGGTCCCCAACGATCCAGCTTTTAACAGCTTAAACTTTTTGCTTGCCTATGCCAGAACGGCTTACTCTCTCTCTACAACCACGATACTGGCGCGTTATATGCACGAGCTATGCCCACATTCATGTTACTGTGTGCTTCCCACACCTACATATTTTGGTGCGCACAGTATCATACCTACTAACTAATATCAGTGGTCGGGCAAGAACCAAGTGCTTTAGTTGTTGCGATCTAGCAACTGTCCGACATGTTGTTTGCAGTCCTTTCATTTGCCATTAGGTACAACTTTGAACTGATGCCTCGTCCTGTTTCAACATGGAAACAAAGCGTTCATTGCTCTGGAAAATGGAATGTCTCTCGGCAACATTATCACTGTTCGTGTTGCCATTTACCTCGTCTGCACAATGAGAGCTTGAAAGCTGGCAGATATCCAAGAAATAACAACACCTCAAGTGACTCAAAACTGCCACAAGGACAATTTACAGCCATTAAAAATTATTTTCCTTAGGAATGTGCCTCAACTGCGCTTGCAAAGGAGTAACAGCAAAGCAAAGAGTTTAAGCTTCTGCCCGGAACCACCATTGTGATATCGCCGATCCATCAGGGCTTCTTTAACGAATACAGTGTAAGGAACACTACACCAATTCAGCGTAATAACCCCAAAAATGAGATCACCTAACTATCTACTTCCGAAATTGAAAAGTAGCGCTGCTGCCCTTTGAGCAATGTTGAGCAATGAACGCGAATGAAGCATTCAAATTATACACAGCACACAACCGGTTTCCTTTAAAACAAGCTTTTTTTTTTTTTCGTGTCGTCTTAACTATACTGTTTCACCTTGTGTTGTACCGCGGTTAAGTCTACAAGCGCGAGCTCCTTGCTCTAGGGCACATCTCGGCGGAACAAGCTCTCGTGCACCAAGGGCAGCAGCCAACGCTATGAGCTCGCGCTTCTAGCCTTCGCTGCGGCACAACATAAGGTGAAACGAGTATAGAACGCACGTAGGCTTCAGCGACGCCTTGATATGGAGAGCCGGAATTTCGACCGAGGTAAATACGGAATGCGCGTCGCTGCTTACACGCGCAGACAACGGGGAAAAAACACTCGAGCGTCAGAGAAGATAAGGACGCCACGGCACACCCTCACGCCATAACAGCACGAAACAACAGAACTACACGACTGTTGCGACGATAAGCCATGCTATGTATTGCAGCCAAGTGGCTCACAAACTCTCTCGGTTTCAAGGACAGCACTGTCGCCTCTTTTCCCAGGACAAGGATTTCAACTTAGACATAAAAGTGAGGATTTTGGACATCAAAAATCGAAAGAAGGGGAAATAGAATTCTGCCTTTTTCGTTGCAGCTCTTGCTGTCGTCGTCAGTGGTTCTCAAGCATGGATGTGTTAAGGACCCCTTGGGGACCCACCAAAGTTATGGGGGACCCCATGCCAGCGGGGGAAGGAGAAAGGGGGAGGGGGTATAAAATGAGACAACTATAGTAAGTTACAGGTAAAGAAGGTAGGGCGAGGGAAAGGAAGGTTGGGGAGAAAGAAGCAGACGGAATAGTGGAGGGGAGAGGGGGAAACATCCTCCTCTCTCCAGCATTGTCTGCTTCCTTTTTCCCGGCCTTCCTCTCCCTCGCCCTACCTTCTTGAGTTGCAATGGACTATAACTAGTGTTAAAAGTGCATCCTTTACTGTTATAAAGAGAAGTGAGAAGCATCAAGTAAAAGGATAAATGGATGGATAGATGGTAACGCTGAACCCGTTATAACGGGTGGTAGCTTCCGGCAGCTCATCAAGGTCAACAAAAAAGCAATTTTTCTCAAGAAAAGGGGGAGGGATTGAGGGCTGAGGTGAAGGCTTCGCGGGCCCCAAAAATGGCTTTGCGGACCCCAGCGAATCCGTGGAACCCCAGTTGAGAACCACTGGTCTAGTTCACTGAGGGGGTCTAGGTGAGACAGCCCACACACATCTTGAGTTTGGGAATCCATAACCTATAGTACCGCATTTCCCGAACCCTCTTTAGTGAACTATACATGTCTAAAAATGGAAACTTTATGCGGTGCTGACTATCGACAGGTGCGGGCTATGAGAGGCTTTCTTTCTTCTCGTGATCATTCAGTATGACGAGATGTGGCAGGTTTTATGAACGACATTTATGTCATGATAATTTATGTACGAAACGAGCTTTATTTGGTGTGGTAATAAAGCAGGCGTTTTTCAAGGTTGTGCCGCGCATAAACACTCGTTTACGTGCAAGTCGTGCAAAAATATATATTTTTTTTTTTGTGGTTTTTTAGATTGGGTTCTTCAGGGTGTCTTGACGGGCTGCTCAAACCCCCCCCCCCCCCCCCCCCCCCTCCTCCCCGAAAGTTGTCGGCTGTCCCAGCTCCCCATGTATGTGATTTTGCAGTTTAAGCACCATTTTAGCGGATTCCAGTCGCCCATTGATTTATCACAAAGCCCTTTCAAAAACCCCACCGAGCAACACTGGTGGTCGCAATATCTCGGGCACGGGGCGTGCGAGTGGATCCGAGTTTTCCCCAAACCGCCGACGCGACCGAAGCAAGCCGAACCAAGCCAAGCCGAGCCTATGCCAAACGTCGACGCAGCCCTCGTGTCCAATCCGTGCTCGGAGTGTGTGCCCAAACAACAGCGAACCTGGGTAACCAGTGCAGCAGCTACCAGGTGGAGCACACTTTTGAAAAGGGTCTATTAGGTGCATTACTGTTTATGAGGCCCCATAGGTTCCCGTACCACTTTACTGCATTGTTGCCAAGACTGAGAGGGGTTCGTCAGCTGTCAATCAAGAGAGATAGGCGATCCTAGAGATTTATTTTATTTATTTATGTATTTCGAAACACTTAGAGCCCAGAGGCATTAGAGTGGAGAAGCAAAAAGACAAAAACAGATTAATAAGATATAAACGAGTCTAGTGAAAAAAAAAATGCACCAAAAAACATGAGCAATCGAGGGTCAACAAAAATGATTAGCATGTGTCAATACTGAATTAATCGACCAATGGCACGGACACTAAAAAGGTGGGAAGGCGGTTTTATTCGGACGACGATTTCGGAACGAAGAAGTCGACATGGGCATTAGTGTGACATGGATGAATTCAGACTTCAAATCGACGGTCAATGCGAGGGGATATGTACATAGGAGAAAGAAGAAGCATATCTTTTAGAGCAGGGTTGGAACAATCAATTTTATGGAAAACACGTAAACGAGATACTTTACGACGCAACAAAAGAAGAGCAAGAAATAGGTTAGCTTTCATGGATGAGAAACTGGCTGTATGATGATAGGTGTGAAAAATAAAACGAGCACCGCAATTTGGACAGCCTCAAGGTAAGACACCCCGAGCTTGAGAACCCCTGCTTGAAGCCCTAGTTTCATTCATGTTTTCTTTTTGGTTTTGAGGTTTTTCCACCTTCGCAATAGACTCACCTGAGGATAGCTCATGGTGAAAAATGACTCTAGGTTGCTGAAGAGGTTGGGGTCTACACCGGTGAGCGGCTTGATGATGGAGACCCCCGGGAGCGGGACTTCCAAGGGTGGAGGGCTCTTCTTTTTGTGCAGTTTCAATTTCCTGTAAAAAAAAAAAAAAAAGAAAGAGGGGATTATGACCTGAAGAAGTAACGCCGAGGGAACAGATTATGGGACAAGGAAACAAACAACAATAATCAAGGCCCTCCTGCAATTGCGGTCACTGCGAGAAAATAATATGTAGCTTGCATTATTTTTTTTTTCTTAGGACATGCTCGACAGTATTGGGCTTGAGCGCTAGTTATCTTTTAGAATTCTTTTAAAGGCAAGCTTGAGAGTGAATAAATAAATATGTTTATTGTGAAAAAGATACAATGATACCCTGGCTACTGGCATCAAGTCAAGGGGACTGGCCAAATGTTAATGTCGGCGGCCTTATGTACATATGTACTAATGTAGTAGATAAGTTATCTACACTTTACAGATGAAGTGTAGTAATGAAGCAGTTGCTGTTTGCTGCTTGTTTGGCTATGCAAGGGGAATATATAGAAGCACGGCTATATAACCGCAGTGTGGAACTTGAAACCTTAAAAAGCACAAACGTTTACAGTGTTTATTCTTTTGACACTTTGCTCTCGTGTACCGATTCATGTATGAAGGCAGACCGACAGTGCTTAGTCTCCCACAAGTTGCAAAGGCTCTCCACAAACTCTCATAAAGGGGAGACAAGGGAAGGGGGGGGGGGGGGGGGGGGGGGGGGTTCGTACTAGATGTCCACATAACCGACTTGAGTTGAAACGCTGCAACCTATCGAAGGAACCAAAACTATTCAACGACGTGCCTTCAGATTATTTTTCCCATTAATAGCTTCCCCGAAACATCCGACATTCTGTACGAAATAAAATCAGCATAGCTACACAAAGCAAAATTTTTCTCTCTCTGGAGACGGCTACTCAACAAAACTCAAATGGGGAAAGATCTGATAATTTCTTATAACAAAACAAAGTGCAAGACGCAGTAATTATGAGTATGGTTTTATCAACGCCAGAGCTATGACATGGGCCAAGGGGGGTGGGGGTGGTGATGATGGGTGGGGGTTAAAGACTACCTTTTGAAGCAGAGGGTTTCTAACATAAAAAGTTTCTGCTGTCAAACCCTCCCATCAAGTCTGACGTGCCCCAACGCTCCTGCAGTTGAACCAGGGTTGGGCAGAAATACAAATATAGAAATACTGATACTGCAATACATTTTTCAAATATTTTGAGACACCAACTGAGATGAAGTTTGAAGTGAAGGTTTTGATCCCGAAATTACTTTCCCATAGGCTTGGTACTTCACCTTGAAGGTAGTGGTTTCGGACGAAGAGGGGTCTTCAATGGGCTCAAAAAACGTTCCATCAAGGATTGACCACAATCCTTTCCCTGACATCCTGTCTGTCTGACGAGTGATGCAAAAAAGACTTCAAAATCTAAATAAATTCTGCCACCCTAAATCCCATCAAAATGTCACCACACCCCTGTCCAATAAGGACGCACCTGTGACCATTGATCACATGACGTCACGATGGAATGAACTGGTATTCTATCTCTCTAGGTGTGACTTTAAACATCAAACTTTACTTGAGCTGCTGTATGAAAGGACAATACATAATTTCGTTGTAGGTGACCTCGTTGAAGATCGTTAGACAGTTTCATTTGGAATTTTCGAGAATAGTGGACCACCTGAAGCATCCTGGAACACATGTCTTCTGTTACGGTTGAAAAAAACGACACGGTGTCATCCCTGTTCTGTTGTGACGGTCCTTCATGCCGACCTTCCTTCTGCCACCCACGCATGGACTGCAGTCCTCAAGTTTAGCCTAGCATAATCCAAACAGACACCCTCGGGGATCGCTACCTGATATTGCCGGCACAGAGAGCAGCGGGTCAAATTCATGAGGACTGATGACATACCCTTAAGCCGTAGGCCCAACGCCCAACCCCAGACGTATTCTGATATCTGTTGAACTTCACTGCCCGAGTCATCCTACAATTTCAAGTCAACCACCGCCAGGCTTGTGCTGCAACTGACTGTGACTCAGCTTTGCCGGCTGGGTGTACTGTGTACGCTAAGGCAACAGAGACGGTTAGCAGCCAGGGGGCATTGGATGCCAGCAAACTATGACTCATGAAATCCCTGCCTAGGGACCTGCGGCAGAAGATGCTCCGACTCCACTCCTGGTACGCCACCTGGTTCGAGTCCTCGACTACGTAACGCTTCTCAGAAGAGAGAAGACGACGCATAGAAAAATAATTTGGAGAATCGGAGGGAACCTTGGTCAGCATAGTAACAATGCCTCAGCATCTCCTTGACCTTGGAGCTCTCGGAAAAAGAAAAAAAGGTGTTCGGTCTTGTATTTTGTTTTTGTTGAGGGGGGAGGGGGAGTATTTCTAAAGAAATGTGACGAAATACATTGCATCCTGATTGTATTGCGATACAAAGAAACATTCCAAATGTATTTCGATACAAAAATACAGATATTGGTGAAAAAAATGTATTGCGATACAGAGATATGAAATGTATCTCTGAAATACTATTGCCATACATTTGTATCGTGATACTGCCCAACCCTGCATTGAACCCCTTTCCGTTTCAGATAGTCTGACTGGTTCTAGTCTGACCAACCTTTTTTTAAGTGTGAATCATGTCCAAGTAATGCAACCATTTTGACTAAACAGTTTAATCTAATTCATGTCGTTTCTCTGCTGCTGTAGGGGAGGCAAAGGCTTATTAAGCAACATCAGAGTCACCTTTTTCTACCCATTTTTTCTTTTCCTAAATTGATAAAAATAAAGAATCTGTATTTGAAAGAACTCGAGCACTATGGATCCATAAGAACCTGACTCGCCCATGTACTCGATGGCAAAAAAACAAACAAACAAGAGGTATCGGTCCAATAGTGCTAAGGACATGTACACAGTGCAGTTGGGCCGGCGCTTGCAAACGAGCAGTTCCGAGCAACATGTGTGGGAAATGGAACAGCTGCAAACCGCACGACAGCGACAGCTTCTTTCATGAAGCACACAGAACTGAGGAACCACTTGTTTCCACTAGAGGAAAGAATCAATTACAAAATGGCAACGAGCCACACGTGCTTCGGCTCACACTGTCGCATACATTCTCGTCATCTAAGCTAAGTCCTACTACAGGCAAGTTGGCAGAAGATGTCGCAAATCGAAAACACCCAAAAAGCGTAATAAAACTGAGACAAATACAAAATTGTTTAAATTTCCTCAGCATAAAGGGGAATGGGGGGGGGTTGAAATTAGTTTGACACCTTTTGTATATGTATTATTAGAATATTGTATCATAAAAAAAAAAGACTTGCTGTATAGTAATTTAATACAGTTTCTCGTGTAGAATCACAATGCCATAGATTATATTCCCTCTGTGTAAATTTTTTTTTTTGGTGTGTGCCATTGTACGTACTGTGACCGACTGGTTGCTCTTGGGCACGTGACAACTCAGGTGAAAACCAGTCCATTTGGAGCTGGATTGTGGAGCTGATCTTAGACTGGATCCAGCTGGACTGTCTCAATTCCAGCTGAATTCAGCTGCAACCAGTTCCGTAATCTAGCAGCAGGTGGATTGACTTTCAGGTAGGGAAATTAAGCATTATTACTATTTTAATTAAACTTTTGCTACAACAAACGCACGAGGTAAGAGTTTTGCTTTTCAACTGAAAACGCTTCCCGGTATGCGAGCTCCCAGCGCAAAAAGGAAGCTTCTACGGACGCTACTGAGAAGCCTGTTGCTTTTCTAAACTCCTCATTAATGCTCGTTCGTGGCTAAGGGAAAGCAAAACAACCTTTGTGAGACTTAATGCGGGAAGCTAAGCTCCTGGAGAGTGCCTTAGAAGGCTCACCCGAAAGCGGCAAAACTAAAAAGTATGTTCCAACAACTGCAAAGTCTCGCGCGCTGCAGTGGAATGTTTCCGCAGCAGTGTGTGTGGCCTCGGAATACTCTGAACCAATGTAACCTATTTTTTCGATGAACCGCTGCCACGTGCTGCAGCTGTGAATAGGGTGTATGCTGCATGAGGGGGGGGAGGAGAGTCATGATACCATTTTAACATGGCGGTGCAAGATGATACCTGTACCGATACTCAAAACTCGAATAATTTTTAAAAATTATACTGCGCGCCTCTCGGTCACGACGGCGACATGCACGAGGACAATGCACGTCACCAGCAACTCTAAAATCCACCGGAGCGAATTTCGATCGTATTATGAATCACAACTGCGCAATGCAGACTAAAGGTCCCAAATAAGTGGCTGTGCTAGGCTGGCCAAATCACTCCCTTACTGTGATGAGTTACAAGATGTTTTGTTCTAGCTTTTTCAGTTAAGCACAGCAGCTTAAAGTAGTAATGCTACATATCATTAACACAAAGGTTTATAAATGTGGAACGGGGTTACTGCCTTTAATGCGATAACTGCTCGTCATGAGTGCCGTTGGTGCTATTCACTCTAACGAAGTGAGCACAAAGGCCACGTGACGACGGTTCCCAAGCGCAACTTGATTTGCGGTTCGGTGGCCATGTGGTTACGTCATCAAATTTTGCAAAAAAATGTCTCTTTTGCAAAACAAAAAAAAAAAAATCCAGCTCAAAAAAAAAAAAAAATCCAGCTCTCACGTTTGAAACTACACGGTGACAAAGAGGCTTCTTTACAAGTGGCACCGCACGAAAGTGTACTTGGGCCACACTAATGCCAAAAAGCTTGTGTCAATTGAAAAAAAAAAAATAACAATTTTAATATTGTTGTGCAGCACCTTTAGCGGAAGGAGGAGCTTTGCCATAGTGGTTGGTGATGACCAATAGCAACAATCCTCGATTCTTACGACCCCGCAATTTTTTTTTTTCTTTTCACAATGAAATAGTAAGGTTGTATACGCAGCACGTTTTTTTGCGACTCTCTGGCTTTCATTTTTGTGGAAACCCAACGAACATCTGGAAATATTGTGAAACAAAGAAACAATGGACATGCCGGGACAGCTCGAATTTCAGGTATATTTACGCCACGCGTCTTGACCAACACTGACGAAGATTGAAATGGGGCACAAAAGGATCATTGAGGAAGAGGTCTCCGCAAGATTGTTGAAAAAGAAACATACATAAGACGCAAATGGTGGAGTTTAAAAGAATGAATGAGGTACTAGAGTCTGTTGTGGACTTGGAATAAGAGAACAACCCTCTCCCACAGGGCTCTCTGCTTCCCATCCTTAGTCGTTCCTTCCTCTCTGCTTGCCTCTTCTCCAGTATTTACTCTACTAAAGTGGAAAGGGTAGAGAAATTTGTGGGAGGATCTTGTACTGCTGTTCTTATCCTGCAACACACTAAAAGGCTCGGGCAGAAGTTCAAACGGCCCGAAAAGCGAGTTACCTGCATAAAGCACTTTCCTCTCCACGCCCTTCGTTTCATGTTTACTGAAAACTTTTCATTGCACTGCTGCGAACCCCAGAAAACTCTTTACGGCTCCGAGATAAACTAGACGCAGATATAAACACAATCGTAGAAAGGAATATATTTATAAAAAAAAACGGCGACCAGACAATACACGTACAGAGCTGTCAACATTGCAATGTAAGGATAGTTGCGGAATGTTTTATACGGCTGCACAGTTCTTTGTTTAGTTTTACATTAGAAACTGGAAATCCACAGGGAAGACCTTTACATTTACAAGACAATTTTGTGAACCCCACACAACCGTGCTGGAAGCTTGCAATGCTTGTCTCTTGCTCGATATTTCTGCCCTTTTAACAGCATGGTTCAACTGCAGCGTCCTTAGACAACAGTCTCCAAAGTCTTTATTTTGTAATTTCAACGATTTCGCATCCTAGTTTGACTTCTTTTGCCTCTTCACAAACCACAATACATCTTAAAAGAAAAAAAAAAGCCTCGTCTCGCTATAAGAATTTGCAACTAGCGCACGCTCCATGGGGGTCACCAAACGTGAAAACACGTAAAACTAAATCAGTGAGAAACGCGTCACGGCAACATGTACTTACAAAAAAAAAAAAAAAAAAGCACACGGAGCAAAAATACACGAGTACGAAAACGGGACCACGGACAAAGTCAATCCGCGTTAGTAGTGAAAGTGGTGGGACCAGTGTAAAACCGCTAATCCATCTTCTAGCCATTCCGGTCTTTCCCTTCTACGTTTTATTTTTGTTTTTCTTTTTAAATGTGCCGGTATTTAGTTTGGGACAGAATTCGCCGTCGCCAAGACGGGAGAGTGATTTTACGCCCGAACGTACCCAAAATCGATCACGGGAATCGGTTCGTCCGCTCGAACCCGAGAATGGCAGGACGCTACGAAACAAGTGAAGCTGAGCATTTTTTTTCTGTCGGCACTAGCGCGCCGACGCTGACAGACAACCGCCGTGTCACCTTGGCTAGTTAACCGAGCGGCCGCGACAATCATCACTGCACTCTGCTTGTTTGTTCGTCTTTTTTGTTCGCGGTGTTCACACATGCAAAAGAATCACTAGCACGAGTTGTCGCAACGCCCGCGATTCGCGCTACTGCTCGGGCAAGCGCTTTTCGACGAGAACTTGAACAGCCAGCAACGACGACGGAGTCAGCGGTTGATTGACAAACGAGGCGAGGAGCGCGTTCTTTCAATCAAGGGAGTTAAAAACGACCCCAGAGAAGGAACAGTTTCAAAGAGCCGACACTCACAGCATAAGAAACCCCGTCGCGGCTTCTTCAATTACACAGCATTAAGAAATGTCGGGACTGACGGCGGTGTGTGTCACCGCGGGGTTGAAATGGGGAAAGGGAAAATAGCCGCCCAAGCATGTGGATAGTGATTCATGGCGAGATTAAAAGAAAACAACCTGCCAGCCGCCGAATTTTAGCAGCCGAGGGTCGGATGTTTTGAGCCGCGCCCTTACGGAAAAATCACGACGCCCAATTTCGGGGCAGGGGCGGGCGGTTTATGGTTTTACTTTCGCCGGAGAGCTATGACAGGCGCCAGCGGCCACCGGCTTATGGGCTGGGGCTGCTGGTGCTGTTGCATTTTTGTTTTTTTCTGCGGGGGTTCTTAGCCACGTTTCGGCTCGTGAGCGGGTTGTAGTGGGTAGCCCGGGCCACGGGTCGCCCCTCTTATAAGCGCGGCACGCGGAGAATTTTGGCCAAGGCCGCCTAAAGGAAAGTGGCGGCGAACGGTCGGGCTGCCGCTGCTGCCCGCAGGTAGTACGAGAGCCTGCGGTGCATGCGAGCCGAGGCACTTCACAGCGCGTCCTCGATCAAAGTCCGCCGCCAAACTGTCAGCCAGACAAACGACTGGGAAGACACTCACCCGTTGAAGATGGCTAAAAGGTGCAGGAGCCAGACGACCCACCATCCCGCGAAGAAAAATACCGCAAATCCGTAGAGTGTGTAAAACAAGAGGGCCATCTTTGCGACGCTCCCACCGCCGCTGGTGGTGACGTCAGGGCGGCGCGACGACGACAAATACGTCGACGCCGCTTCCGGTTTTAGGCGGCGCTTGGCGTCACTTCCGCTCGAAGGCCCTCCTCCAGCCGCCGCGCCGGCGTCGGCGCTGCGGTCGCTTCCGAGGACGTCGAGCCGGCGTTCGATTCGGTGGAGGTGGCGGTCGAGCAGTGTCCACTGGGTGGCTGCATGGTCAATCGCTGTCGGCCTCGGAGGTCGGCGCTTTATAGTGAGCAACAGCAGGCTTATCTGGTAGGCAGAGACGAGACCGTACGCCACCCCCGACACGCAGCTCGAAGTGCACGCCTCCAGACGTCGGGGAGGAACCAGAGGGACACCGCTAAGGGTAGCGGCTCCAGCGAGCCAGAGAAGCGTCATGCTGCAGATGGGTGGAAAGGGTTCGCATCGTTCGACAGCATCAATGGCGACCGCTTCGGGTCCCGCGGGCTCGTAGCCACCGCGACTTGCGTGTCGGGTGGATCCGGAATCTGCCCTGGCTTGGGGTCTTGGCGATTCCTCGACATCGGCGGGTGGCTCACGTGTTCAAAGGGTTCCTTTGGGGACGGCGCCCTCTGATGGTTGTTCGTGTCCAGATGACGAGGAAAAAGAAACAGCCTACGAGCCCGAGTTGGATGAAAACACGATGTGCCACCCACGACGATCCCAAATAACTTTCCTATAAATTCTAACCTAACTAGAGGATTCAGCTCCACCTCAGTACCAACTCTATGTGTTCCATCCATTTCGCTACCTCTCCTGCCATCGGCCCTTCCGAGTCAGTAAAGACTATTATTATAGAAATAACAAAGAAAGATGCAGGCGAGCTGGCGAACTTTCAACATCTTGAACACCCGAGACTAGGAACAAAAGTGGACAACCTTAGTACCATTATCTGCTTTTGCTGATGCCCTTATCACCAATGCAGGCTTTGTCCACACAAACTGAAATTGAATGCATATCAAATGAATGCTATCATTCATTTCATTGTCAACGCAAACTGGAATTGAATGCATATCAAATGAATGCTGGCATTGAATGCTATCAATGGATGAAGTGCCATCGCGACCCTATATACTCAGAAACGCCAAACACAAGCCGCCTAAAATCAAAACAAATTATATATAAAAAAAAAAAACTAAATTATCAGGTTCTTACATTACTAAACATTTTTGAAGGGCGTACTGATTTTACAGTATCATTTGATAAATACAAAAGTAACGTCAGACACACCCTTGTACACAACGATATATATTACGCGCAGTAGAAATTGTTTTGTTTTTGCGCCTACCAGTGTTGCAATGACGAATGTGTTTGCTACATGGCTGTAACCTTTTGTCTACATATCTTTCGTGATTTTTTTTTTGCTCCTTTGATCATTTTGTGATTATACGTCAGTGATTACGAATCAATGTCGTACGAATCAATGTCGTACAAATGATAGTCATCTTTGTGTGGCCTTATCTAGCTAGGTTTAGAATTTCAAAACGTTTTGTGAATTGTTTTCTTATTTCTTGTAATATTGTATTCATGTGAGGACAGATTAATCCTCGTTTATGTTTGTAAAATAATTTCTACGATTTTGTGTAACAAGTGTGCATGTTTGTAGCTATGTAGATGTATGTATACTTTTGTTTACTTTCTTTACATATATGGCAACTAATGCAAGTCGTGCTGTAATGAACTGTGGGGGTAGAGGCCCAGTCAGGCAGAAATGCCTTGTCTCGACCTCCCTACCGTGCCTGGTCCGTGAGAAACCAAATAAACTTCAGACTAATGTAAATGGCTAAAACATACCTGAAAATCGCTCTAAGAAGCAGCTACAAGAACACTAGGAAAGCGACGTTTCTTTCATAATGTAGCCCGAATGATTTTTTTTATTATTATTTTTATTTGTAAAATTTTTGGCGCGACCTTTTTCATCGTTGCTTCTACTGACTCTTTCAGGCTTAATATATATATATATATATATATATATATATATATATATATATATATATATATATATATATATCCTTAATTGGTTCATGTTTCGAATTCCTGTATAAATCTAGGGCTTTCCGGTATAGGTATCAGTGTAAGACACGAATTTGCGGATATTAATGAAGCCGGTTATCTGACGCCCTAAAGCAGTCCTTGGCGGGACTGTTGTCTTCTGTGGTCCCTGACAGGATGTAAACGCCTAAGCATTATCGAAGCTCGCACTGGAGTCGGGAGAACTGAATCTCCTCCCTGACGTTCTCAGTGACGACGGTGAGGAAATCCACCCTGAAAATAGCGCGCGCTTGGCGCGTTTAACGTTCCTTCGGAGCACGAGCCTTTGTCACGCAGGCTTTTCTCACTCGTTCTAATTTGCCTTGCAGGTTCTATTTTTGAGAGGGCGACGTGCGGAGGACGCTGTCAACGGACGTGCTAAAAGAAACAAGGAAAAACCACAACGAGAATGTTCCTTCAACGGAGAACAAAACTAACAATTGAAGTTCGTGGCGACTTCGAGGATCGCAGGCGAGCCAACGTTTCGAGATCGTGCAGCCCTAGGGCATTACCTCGAAAGTCCTTTTGCTGAACTAGCTCCAAGCAACCGCGAGGATGTGAAACTGAATCCTGCTCCAGGGGTTCAAATGGTGAGGACAGTCCCTACGAGAGTATAAGGACAGCTCGCTCTTAAATTAATTTGCTAAAAAAAAAGAAAAAAAAGAAAAAAAGGACAGTACGGCAAGTACACGAAAGACACAAACACAGCGCTGTTCTCGAGGCTGGGAGGAAACTAAAACGACCGTTTACACACACAAGAAAATACGTTTGTATTTTTACAGCAAACAAAGAAAAAAATATTGCAGGAAGGAGTAAAACAAGCATTTTTTTAGCAGGGAACAACATTGACGACGAAGTTTGTGTCAACTTCGGGGATTGCTGGCAAGCTAACGTTTCGAGATCATGCAACCGTAGGGCGCTGCACCATTTGCTGAACTATCTCCAGTTAATTGCAAGGATGTGAAACTGAATCTTGCGCCAGGAGTCCAGACGGTGAGGACACTCCCCATGAGAGTAAAAGGAGAGCTCACTCCTGAATGATTATTTGTTCTCGGGGGCAGGGAGGGGAGTAAAACGGCAGTTTACACCAAAAATTACGTTTGTTTTTGGAGCATTACACGCATTACACGGCGTGAAAAGGAAGCTCTTTTGCAGGAAGGAATCACACAAGCGTCCCTTTAGCACGCAACAAATCTAACAGTGACGTTTGTGGCAATTTCAGAGATTGCGGGCAAGCTAACGTTTCGAAATCATACGACTCTAGAGGTACTGCACCATATACGGACTAGCTCCAAGGGTGCAAGACAAGGGTGCGGAATTGAACCCTGCGACAGGAGTCCACATCGTGAGGAGCAAAACGACAACTCACTCTTGAGCTATATTGCTCTTCCGGGCCGGACAGTTTACACAACAAAATTACATTTGTTTTTTACAGCACCCACAAAAGCTCTTTCGCAGAAAGGAGCAAAACAAGCATTCCTTTATCACGGTACAAAATTAACAATGAAGTCTGTAGCAATTTTGGAGATTGCGTGCGAGCCAATGTTTCGAGATTATGCAACTTCAGGGCGCTGGAGCATTTACTGGACTAGCTCCAACCAGTAGTCTCAAGGGTGTGAAGCTGAACTCTACGCCAGGAGTCCAGATGGTGTGAACTGGTGTGCGACCATTCCGCATTAAAGTAAACTGACAGTTCACTCCTGAGTTTTTTTTTTTTCTCTTTCTTTTGCTCAGGGGCAGTGAGGAGAGTAAGTACGCCCTTGTTCGTTTGGTTGAATGGGAAAGTACGCTTTTGTTTGTTTGGTTGTTTGTCTGTTTGTGTGTGTGTAAGAGAGAGAGAGAGATAAGGGCGTAAAACGGCAGTCCACACCGCAAATTACTTTTTTTTTTTTCTTGAAATAGAAGAGCGTAAAACTAGTCTACTGCTATTCGGTCTTGTCGTTCGTCTTTTGCGTTAGTTGTCCTGAGATTGTAAAACTGTCCAAATTTCTTCAGCGTACAACTAAAAAATAAAAACACAAACCATTTCTTTTTTAAAAGAGAGCAAGCATTGATGAAGGTGTGCCAATAAAGTAATTCCCAGATAGAAACGTCGCTCGTCGAGCGGAAACACGCTTATCTAAAGAGTAGTTTACTTCTCCAACCACCGATGCTTTTCAAACGCCCCCAAAAGGGGTAAAACCGCCTTTTACTCCCCCAACAACAAACGCACGGCACGAGTCCGAAACTAACGCGAAACGCCAAAAACAAGTGGGACACGCGCCAGAAGTCAGACCTGCTTTTTCGGGCATTTTTTTCCTTTTTCCGTCTGTTTTGTGCCTTGATTCGGCTAGACGCTGCGTTGCTCCTCGTTCGCGATCAGAAACGGCCCCTTTTCGAACCTGATTTTTTTCTTCTTGTTTTCTCTCGCTCTCTGGACTGGTGAACGGATGCGTGAGCTCTTATCGAAATTCGAGTTCAAGCCGTTATTTTTCATTCGCTTCGACTTCCTGCAGCCGCTCTGCGGCTTACCTTATGTGCCGTTCAGTTTATATCGCGTATTGAGTGCGCGACAGTGCAAGACGCAAGGCGTTTTTTCTCCAACGGTTGCTTGAATTAGAACGAAGTGCGGGTGAACCACCTGAATGCCTTAGTTGTAACTCGCTCCGTTAATATCCTACGAAACCGTGAACAAACTCATTTCTTTAAGAAAACACACACACACACAAAAGGAACTTCTTGGTCATACTTTATTTTTTCGTTATCTGACATTTTTCAATTTATGAGTTAAAAAAATGAAGAAACAAGTATTCTAGAAACTTCGCGCCAATTTGTGAAACTCTTCATAACTTGTTTTCTTTTTAGAGCGCAGCTCTTAGGGGCCCGTTTCCGGCTTGAGCGGCATCGGCGTCGCCGTCGGCGTCGGTGTAACCGCGCGGTGCATCATGGGAAATGTCCCATAATGCACCGCGCGAGCCCCCCACCGGGGTCACGTGACCTCGTGGGGGGGGGGGCACGTGACCCCCCCGAGGTCACGTGGCCCCGGTGCATCATGGGAAATATCCCATAATGCACCGCGCGAGCCCCCCACCGGGGTCACGTGACCTCGTGGGGGGCACGTGACCCCCCGAGGTCACGTGACCCCCCGAAGTCACGTGACTCCCCTGAGCTAGGTCACGTGACCCCCCGAAGTCACGTGACTCCCCTGAGGTCACGTGACCCCCGCCGATGTCGCGTGACCCCCCAATGACGTCATCATCACTGATGACGTCACCGGCATCCACATCGTCATCATCACTGATGACGTCACCGGCATCCACATCGTCATCATCACTGATGACGTCACCGGCATCCGCATCGTCATCGTCATCATCACTGATGACGTTACCGACATCCGCATCGTCATCGTCATCATCACTGATGACGTTACCGACATCCGCATCGTCATCGTCATCATCACTGATGACGTCATCAGTGACGTCACTGATGACGTCACCGGCATCCGCATCGTCATCGTCATCGTCACTGATGAC